TGAAATGCGTCAATCAATAAAAAAGTTATAAAGGAATGAAATTTGAAAAATATGCCGTTTAATCAACCCACCAATTCATGTTCAGGAATTTTATGAAAATTCTGTATACTCCACTGGATTCAGGATGTCTTGAAATATTACTGATCACAGTTTCATCGAAATCTGTTCAGTAATAAAAATTGATGGGTTGATTAAACGGCATATTTTTCAAATTTCATTCTTTTATAACTTTTTTATTGATTGACGCATTTCAACGTAATTTACATGTTACCCATTTGAAAATGTCACAAATCCAGTGGTGTAGTCAGATTTTTTCTAAAAAAATCGCTAGTAATTTTTTTAGATTTTTGACCTTGAAAAATCAGATTAGTTGGCCCTGGAAATGGAGATTTATTCATGATATTTGGTGTCCTAATAGACTTTTTGAATATCTACCTAACAAAAAAAAAATCATTCCAATCGGTTGAAAAATGTAAGTTTTATAAGGGTGCTTCCATCGTAAATGGGTCACACTGTATATCGTCTGCAATTCAAAATTTCATCAAAGTCTTTCATTCTTGGGAATCCTAGACAACTTGGTCACACATTTTTTTTGATACCCTCATCTACTGAATAGAGAGATTCCTGTTGAAAAATGCATTATCACTCAATCCAAAATTAATCTGAGAAAGCTGTTAAATTCAATTTAAGAAACATTATTTGACCATATTAGAAAATTTTCAAATTCATCATGATTTGAATGGTAAAATTGGATTCAAGAATTTTCTTTGTCATGGATCCATGACTATAACTAAAATAATGATCTGTTTTATTATAACTTAACTTGATATCGATATCGACGTACAATGTGTCCTCGCAATGTTAAAACGATTTTTCCAGAAGGTGAAAAATCATACACCTATTTCTTGAATTTTTAGGGTGTTATCGGTTATAATTACACGAGTGCATGAAAATTACCGATAATTTTGCAAGAAAGCGTGTTATCTAAAAATTGTAAGTTTATTTTCATATTTTGGCGAAAGAGCCCGATCCGAAGAAAGATGACGCAGTTCTTTTTTCGGAACTATAGCACAACAAAAGCCATCAACAGTGTATATATACAGGGTGGCCCGCGGTCGATGGTACCTCAGTCGTATACGGAAAACGGTACATTGGATTATCCTGAAAATTTGGTGACTCTAATAAGCGTTTGTGATCTAACGATTCAAAATATTTTCAGCGATGCAGCGATGCCACTTTTACCAAAAAGTAGCATCATCTTTGTTATTTCAAATGGAACACCCTGAATTTCATTGCGTTTTTAGATTCTTCTCGAAGAGCTGATTTCATCAATGTATCACACATTGGGGTCTAGCAGGAATTATTACAGAGAGAGAACCACTCTAAATTACCACATTCGTATGATTTTTCACTATGAAGGTGTAAATTGACACCACTGTATCATCAAATTTCTAATAATATTGATATAATATTGCTAATCAAGTGTTGAATCAATCGGAGTTATTTCTGAAATCCACTCGATTGAAATCACACCCGAAAATTTTTCACTGTGTTTGTATATCCAGCAAAAAAGTACTCACTTTTTCCCGTGGTAAAAATTTTTTTGAAAAGCGACATTTTATAACCTGTCAGGAGAGATGATATTTCAAACTTTTTCTCGTCACAGAAAAATACCTAACTATTTTCTTTGTATTTTTCAGAGTGAAATTTCGTTACGAAGTCGACGTCAGAGAATTCCACAGAGATGCTTGTGAAATTGAACATGTGAATATCTGGTACGAGCAAGGTTCAGATTTTCTGACGACCGCAATCAGCGTTTTGTTTTGTGTCACAGTCACGGTTATATTGCCCTGGTTCATTTTCGGTAGAAAATACTAGAAAATTCACTGGACGTTCGGACACTTGACCACTGAATCTTCATCAACTGCGTTCAGGCCATTGAGAAAGCAGAATTGGAACCCTGAAGATGATCATCATAGCGATCGAAACTTCATAACTCCGTCATTTTCACGTGGTTCGCGACAGATTGAAAACTATAGGAGCTTATGGTTTATTTCTGACAGCTCAAAATAGCCCTAGATCAGTGCGTTTATTGCATCATAGTGATGTTTTCCTGTTTGTGATATTTTTAGATTTCTAAGTATTGATATAATTAAGGTTTTGCTGAATAACCTTGTTCTTCGAATATATTTATTTTTTTGTTATTGAATAGAAAATTTATTTATACTTATTGCGAGCAATATTTTGTGTATCGGTCACTATATAATGTTATGTATCTACCCATACCTTTCTAATCTCTGAATGTTAATAAATATCATGAGTTATTTATTATTCTATATCAATCATGAAATTAGATAGGTATATACCTATATACATATTTATATACCTATCTCATGCGTCGTATTTTGATTCTGATGTTTATTTTATCAAGATAATAATAATTAAATAAATTTCGTACAGTAGATAGATACTCCTCGAAAAAGAATGCGAAATTTTGAAATTAATTTGATGAGACATCATGATGTTCTTGTCTCATGGTCCAACAATTGATCCAATATTTGAAACGTCAGAATTCATTGTCAAATGATTTTTTCTGCAACCGACATAAAAGTCGTCCATTTTAATACCAAAATCCGCTCTTGAATTGACGTTTCTATTACTGACACAAACATTGACATGTTGCAATGCAACACATCAAGTTCCTAGGAGCTAAAGTTGAACTTTAGCTCCTAGGAACTATACAGGATGTTCTAGAGGTCATCAAGAATAAACATCATTGTTACGCTTGGTTATTTGGTTTGGAACGCATACCTGATTTCCGATTTCGACAGATTTGGCATTCCATAGCCATGTAGGAGATATAAATACACAATATTATAGTTAAGTAGTTTTGTCTTGATCAGGAGAGCCTTCAAGATTCACATACTTGCTTGATCTGTATATTATCATTCGTCATTCCCAGGATGGATAACTTGTTCTTGAACAATCAATCTTTGTCTCACACAAAGATATTACCTTCATGTGATTACCAAACCAAACACAGTGGAGTAACATCTCATAAAAACCTCTTACCAGATTATAATATCTTCAATGTGGAAATAAATTCAATTCTAATTTGAATCTAGTAGAAATACGTCTATCATTCTTTTTCTATGTCTAACATTTTTGAGCAACTTGCATAGTTGCTGCGCCCGCTATATAAATTGAGTAGGTATTGCTTAGAGGAAGAATTCATTTTCGTTATTATTTCATTTATACTATCGAATTATATAGATGATTATATAGATGATTGAAGGCACGGTACATCGTATTCAAACAGAATATGGTGTAATCACAGACAGTGTTTTGTTTCTCTTCTCCGAAAACGCTTGACCGCAGATTCCGCAATTGGGTTTTAATGCTAAGGAATGTGCCATCTGACGGCATATATCACGTGATCATCAAGTGTGATTATTTGGTAGTAGTAGTGAAGATTATAATTATTGTTCATTCAATTGTGTGACTGATTATTATATGATTATTTGTTTATACAACCGTATATGGCAGAAACATATCTTCCGAGTCGTTCTGGCAAAATTATTATTTTGACATATCACACTTGGCGTCAAAAATATCATATTTTTGACAGAATGACAACGCGGGAAAATGAAGGTTTAAATCCCAATAATGGCATATTAGTTGTTCGCATGATATAGACACTTTTTACAGATTCCTTTCATATCATTCATAACATAACCTCAATTCAAATGAGATTGAATTCTAAAGTACGAAACTGTAATTTTGGGGAATTTGAATTATCATCAGCTCTACCAACCTTGAATTTTGGTTGAAATTTCGCCATCTTACGGGTAAAATGCGACTTATATTCCGCGATATTGAAAAGAATCCTTCTATCAAGTAGGCTGTAGGTCGAGAGCTTTGACCGAAAAACAGCAGATGGACTTTGATAGGAATTGCTACATTATCTTCTGTTCATCCTAATTCGAACACACCACGCACTGTCACCCAGCTCTCTATGTCCTCCACAGTGGCTATCCTGAAGCTTCAGTTAGTGGTAGACGTCTTTCACCTTCAGGTACACCAAGAAGTACAAAGAAAACAACACACAACTGCAGTAAGACGTTGCTAGTGCCGATGGTACCAGCAGAAATCTCAATGAAATTCAGTACCATGGGATCATACAAGTGCTCTAGGTTTTCTAGTAGGTCCAAGCTTAGCATCGTGACCAACTCAGGAAAAACTTTCAAGAAACTCCTCGGAGCAGAGGTATAAAGTAAAGTCACTAGCTGTACGACTCCAAGCTGGTATAGTTAATGGGCGTGTACACCTTAGTAGAACTTTTAATTCAAATCATGTGTATAATGATCCTTTCATACATAAATAATGATTGACGACATAATTCGATCGAAAAATTAACTGGAATGTTTTATTTTTGGACATAAATGAAAGTACCTTCTGAAAACGGACCCTCTTATGACGTAGAAACCTCATATCGCCATAGTTGAAAGAAAATACCAAACGCTTGAAGGATACTGAGGCAACTGATATATTAATTCTTTCAACTGTGATCTCGCGCTAATTCACTGTCAGAAATCATATATCATTCATCTCTGTCTGGAATAGTCTTGTTTTAGTATTAGGGTTTTGACGTCACATCATCGCCCCGTTTTCAGAGGTCCGAAAAATCGGGAATTTCAATATTTTTTTATGAAACGTAAGGAGCTCACAGCAAGAAACGGTTTGCGGTGGTGAGCTAGTTTGGGTAAGTTCTATCGAATTATGAAATACATTTTTTTTGTGATATAAGCCCATTACTTGTTGTTGTTCTCTGCTACAGCCAAAGACCACTGCCTTAGCTGTTTCTTGTATGATTTTCGATAAGCAATTTGTTGTCATCTTCATGAAAAGATAAAACTGAACTGTTCACCTTCAATCTTCTCCTGGATATGTTAACAAAGATAGACGAACACGCGTGTAGTATGATATGTTAGTGCCAAAGGTATAATGAACATTTTATTTCCGTTCTTCAGATGCGACAAAATGACTCTTACACAGCGGACAAAACAAAGAAATCCTCAGACACTGCTTCAAGCAATGCGGATGGAACAGATGATTACATGGCGTTATCCTGGCACTGGACATCGTATTCAAACACACCGCGCATAAGTCCGCCCAATTCTCTATATCCTCCACAGTGGCTACCCTGAAGCTCCGGTAGGTCTCCCTCTCTGTCCGCAGCAGCTTCCAGCTGTTGTGGTACACGTCTTTCACCCTCAGGTACACCAAGAAGTACAAACAAAGCAACACGAAGCCGGAGTAGCTCTGCAGCAAGACGTAGCTGGTGACGATGGTACCGGCAGAAATAGCCACGAAATTCAGCACCATGGGCACGTACAAGTGCTCCAAGTTCTCAAGCAGATCCAAGCTTAGCATCTCGACCAACTCAGGAAAAACCTTCAAGAAAATCTTCTCGGAGCAGATGTAATAAAGGAAAGTCACTAAGCTGTACACGACTCCTGGCTGGTAGTTCATCCCTTGTTCTCTGAGACAGAAGACTATCACCACTGCCTTGGCCCACTCTAGTATGATTTTGCAGATCCACTGCAGGTACTGTCTTGTTGAAGGGAAGGTCGGTATGGGCGTTAGTCTGTTGTTTTGCAGTATGTCCCTCACTCTGGAAACGAAGTAGGCGAAGACTGAGTAGAAGAGTATGCTGGTCAGTGCTATCACTACGCTTCTGTCGGCTTTGGTGTCTTCTATGTCCGCGTTGTCTTCAAGTAAGGCGTCAAAAAGAATGAAGAAGCAAACCTGAAAAAAAAGAGAAATCTTGTCTACATACATAATTATAGTAGTCTTAGAAGAGGAAGACGTATGCAGGTTCTGTGGGGAATGAGGAACACCTTTCTATGTGTCCTCATTAGTCAATTTTTTTTTACTTCTCGAGGCAAAGAATGCCTTCAAGATATATTGATCATATCAACATGATGCAAGATGCAATCATACAGTCTTCATTCCTAAAATATTAAATTTTGTGGATTTTACAAATAAAAAAAAATAGTGCAAAAATTTCTACGGAGCTGACGTCAGAATTGCTACGGAAAGAGGTGCTTTGCCCTGAATTTCATTTTGATCCCTATATATATTTATTCTGATGTCACCCTGAATATAATTATGGTTACCTATTTGACGCCAGTAATAAAAAAAATGTTTCATAGATTTCATTCTTTATTATGAGGAAACCGGAAGCTTCATTAGATTTTGATGAGATAACTAAACAAATTATATATAAGTGATACGTTGGTTGCCTATGCCTATATATACTTCATTCGGTATTGGTTTATTTGTATTCATTACGGTATCTTATCGCAAAATATTTGTAATATTAATAAGTATTTATTAAAAAACGTGAAATCTAATCATCTGACAGGATCAATCTTTTTAATTAGAAATCATTCACTGTTTTTTAGATAGTTTCAAAACTTTTTTTGTTTTATTTTAGAAGTTATGGGCATTGTCAGGTGTCCATTGCCCGTAGGCATTGCTCTACTGGTTTCTGACAGACGAATATTATTTTCGATTGATATACAAGGTGTTCGAGAGTTGTAGTGACAAAAGCCTATGCAGAGAAAGTTTTATTTTATGTTATTTTGTTTCCATAAATGAATACTAGCTGCGATACGAGTCAAGGACACAAGGACAAAAATGTATTTTTAGTGGGTTCTTGTGAATAATAAAACCTACATGGTGGTATTTTTTCTGTGAAAGAACCGATTTGCTCGCTGGATATGTTCCTGTAAATTCGGCATCGTGTCCCAAACTCGTATTTTCAACACACTATATCTCGAAAACGACGCGTTTAAAAGTATTTGTTTATATGAACATGTTTAATTATATTAAGGAGTACAACACACCGTTGACTTTTTTGTATTACAAACCAAACCACATTGTATATCATATATCTTGTAAGTGATCAGAAGCCGTAATATAAAACCTGTGGTTATGAAATGAAATAAAAATATCCTTAGCGTGTTCTTACCTGACATACAAATGCATAAATGCCCTGCATCTTGATGAAGAATTGTTCCATGAAATGTACTTCTTCCGTGAGTTCATTAACCAAACTTTTGAAAATTTCTAGGATGATGGGAAACCATCCTGCGAATGAGAAAGGGCAACTTTAAACTTACGTGTCAATCTGGAATTGAGAGCAACTCATCTTACTTTGACCGTTATTGAAAAAATCCAAATCAGAATCACTATTGCTTGGGGTCATAATCAACTGGAATAATTTTGATTTTTTTCTCGAATGTTGTAAAATTTAAAAAATGTCAAGGTGACTTGAAATTTGACATGATATGACTGTTGTGACAATATCATAGATGTATAGAAAGTCATATGGTGTTTTCACTTCCTATTGAAAGGAGTTTCGGAATCTCTAGATGTCGCCTACTTTGTAAAAATAGCGAGGCGTGGGAGAATCTTGCTAAATTTCCGAAGTATGAAACCAAATTTACAGGCATTATGACAGTGGCATTCATGGACGATGCTTTTCTGGAATATCAATAATTGTTCCTCCCTTGGCAGTCCTCGCGTGATTATCCCGTCGAGTTGAGGCTTCGCACCCCTTCGTGGTCACTTTGGAGACCTGCAGAACATCTCTTTCCGAAGACTCGTTCATCCAACGAAAAGCGAGGCTCTGGAACACATTGCCATGGGAGGTGTTCCCCAAGGCATATAACCTCCAGAAATTCAACCTACTAAACTAACAATGCTCTTAGTTTATGATAATTCAATTTGAAATTGGAACAAAATTTTGAATATGCTGAAAACCTGACACTTGTGACAGATATGTCAAGTTCAAGATGTTTCCGTTTATTCCATTACATTGTACGAGTCAAACCATTATTCAAGTACTCAAGCAAATATTCTCAGAACATGGAATTCCTGATACTATTTTCAGTGACAATGGTCCACAATATAATTCAGAAGAATTCCGACGATTCACGTTAGATTGGGGAATCAAAACATGCACCAGCTCTCCCCATTATCCCAAATCAAACGGATTCATAGAAAGGCATGTACAAGCTGTGAAAACCATGCTTAAGAAGACAATTGAGGGTAAAGGTGATATTTATGAAGCGCTTCTGAACTGGAGAACAGCAGCAGTGGATGACACAATTCCTAGTCCTGCACAAATGCTGTATAACAGAAGAATACGAGCAAACCTTCCAAATCACATCTCCAACCAAACACGGAATAGAGATGCAATTATGGAAAAGATGCAGGATCAACAAAACCAAATGAAACAACGTTATGATTCACATGCATCTGACTTACCTCCTTTGCATGAAGGTCAAAAAGTTCAACACCAGGACCAAAATTCAAAGCAATGGTTACCGGCTACAGTTATCGGACAAGGAGAAGAGTCTCGTTCGAAACAGAGTACATCTCCGGGATATGGGAAATACTCCCCAAAAACAGGTGCGATTTGAATTGCCCGAGATTCCTGAGACCAGCGGAAATGAACAGATTGCACAAAATCAAGATGACTCCATAAGCACAAGACCAGAAGTATCACATTTAGAAACCACTCCTTCAAGGAGGTCAAATAGAACAGTGAAAAAACCAGATAGACTTGATTTGTAGTATTATTATTCTCATTGTTTATTTTTTTGTCGTTTTTGAGAAGAGGGATGTTACATACCAGAATTGAAGTACTCTGTATGTTAACATCAATGCCAGTTGATATGTCAATATAGTTTGAAAAAAAAAGTCATTGTTTCTTGAACTCATATTAATCTGATTTCATAAGAACCCAAACATATATTCGAAGGCAATATATAACAGCTATCATTGAATTCGTGCATCATGAATGGGACTCTTTAGGTGCCGAAAGAAGAAAAACATATCATTTAAAGTCTAATTCAACTTCATGATAAGATTCGAAACGTATTTAGGAATGTTTCTAGAAATTGTCATCATTAACGCCATCTATCATCGAATATGAGAACGTTCCGAACTCGCATTCCATTGTTCATATCCAGAGCTAGTCTGACGAAACAATTGAAGAGTGGGCACACCAGAAGAATTATAAACATCTCAACAATATCTACTCACCTTCAACTCGACAACTTTCTGCAATTTTTTCAAACAATATTATTGTCCACATTAAGAATATTTGATTATCATAAAATAGTAAGACACAGGAATAGGTTGCTTAATATTGAAACATTTCACAATCTTGCTGCATAATGAATTCTAATTTTATATATTTGGCGTAGTGAATACTGAAGTTTTTTCATCAGCTGATAAACCTCCAAAATCCAGGTATAGCTATGCAGTATTGTCATATAATAATCAAATAGGAAATAATGGTGTGCAAAATAGAATACAAACTATCGTTTCCTCGTCGATATTTCCATGATGATGATGATCTCGAACATTAACGCGCTCGCTTCGCTCGCACGTTAAAATATCTCGATCATTAATCGCCACTAGTTGGTTAAATAACTATTTCGTCAAACGTCCTCTCCAAATGAAAATCGACGTGGTATGTTATTTTTTTGTGAAATAAGTTTTCTGCGAGTTATCGAGAGTGAATAGTCCTAAATGAACCACCCGGTATATTATAATCTACTATATTGAAGAAGTATTGGAAATGTACCTATTTGATTTAATTTGTAACTGATATATATTTCATGGTACTACAATGGTTCGAAAACCTCTACAATTTGAGTCTGACATAACTTTGATAACAAACTGTATATCACATTCTTACATTTCCTACATGGAATGATCGGAAAGAGTTTCTTAATGATCGTCATGTCCAATCACTCGGACCTGTAATATTCGATCCCGCTCCCCAATTTTTCTATTCACCAAATTGATCAAATTGAGTTAACCTCACTCTAAAATAAACGGTGTTCATGACATGAAATGGGTCAATGTATTTCAGTACCAGTAATAGTTTCTCACAATACCTTCTTATCGAATACATGCGTTATGACATATATATTAATCTAAAAATAAGTTCAACGGTTCGTATGTTTCCCAGAATAACAACAAATATGATTAGAATTTTGATAGAAGCATGGATTTTAATATTTATTCAAACTTTGACTCGAACAACTAGCTTTATCTTCATAGCTCAAAATATCTCATTAAACATAACAGAATGTCATAAAAATATTCACACACAATGGAACCAGAAGCAGCTACATATGTCATAGTTCATTTCATCATATACCTACATCATGTTTTCATGTATTCTACCTTTAATGCTTGTAAAGAATATCGTGTAATGTTAAGAGAACATCGTGAGAACCAAGGGAAATGAGGTAGGAATTGGTGTCCTTCTTAAATTTCTGGAGGTTATATGCCTCGGGGAACACCTTCCTAGGCAATGTGTTCCAGAGCCTCGCTGTTCGTTGGATGAACGAGTCTTTGGAAAGAGATGTTCTGCAGGTCTCCAAAGTGACCACGAAGGAGTGCGAAGTCTCAACTCGACGGGTTAATCTCGCGGGGACTGCCAAGGGACGATCAATTATTGATATTTCAGAAGAGCATCGTCCATGAAAATATCTATGAAATAGAGCTAGATCGCCAACTTTTCTACGGTGTTCCAGAGAAGTGAGTGAGATTGTGAGCCAGGCATCACCCACGAGACGAATTGCCCTTTCTTGGACAGAATCCAACAGTTTCAGAGTCTGAACCTACCTAGCACTGCTTGCTCCCTTGCTCAGCCTTCAGTTGCTTCAAGCAATTCAGCACCATATCCTTTAGTTTAATATAGATTGTGTCGATTGTGAGGTAGAAGGATAGCGCTATGAAGGAAGCTTTGGAGTGGAAGATCAGGAAAACGACCATAGTAGAAGCTATAAAGATAGTATAGTAGCTCAGTAGCACTGGAATCTAGAGAGGTCACAGAGGTTCCAGCGACTTTATCTTCAACTACACCAGGATGGGTAAAAACGAATCTTCGACCATTTTTTCAGTGCACATGTATAGTAAGTCTTCCTCTTCTATCAACTCTCTAGTTTTTCCTGTGAGATACGAAATAAAATACACACAACACAATTCAAAAACTTTTATTATATGAAACATGCAAATACGTAAAAAAAAATATACTGTCTGACCTAATTAATCCTAAAAAAAAACACAATCACCGCACCGTCAGTGCACGAAAGTGTACTCCCTCTTACAAATCGGACATATCGACGAGTTCTTCAAACACTGCCTCAAGCAACTAGCATGAAAGAAATGTTGACAAGGTGTTACCCTAGCGCGCTCCATAGCACTGAGACAAACAGCACATACGTCATCGCAGTTGCTAATTTCGTCTTCTGTAGCTTGCCTGAACCTCCCTAGCACTGCTTGCTCAATCTTCAGTTGCTTCAAACAATTCAGCACCATATCCTTGAGTTTGAGGTAGACTGTGAGGTAAAAGGATAGCGCTGTGAAGGAAGCTTGGGCGTGGAAAGCCAGGGAAAACACCATAGTAGAAGCTAGGGAGATGATATAGTATCTTAGTAGCACTGGAACGTAGAGCTTCATCTTCAACCAAACCAGGATAGGTAAAAACAAATCTACGAACACTTCTTTAGTGCACATGATTGTATAGTGGGTCTTCTTCTTCTATCAACTCTTTGATTGAAGAGCATCAGAGATAATAGAGTTCTCTAGTTTTTCCTGCGGGATACGAAATAAAATACACACAACTCACAATTCAAAAACTTTTATTATATGAAACATGCAAATACGTAAAAAATATATATACTGTCTGACCTAATTAATCCTAAAAAAACACAATCACCGCACCATCAGTGCACGAAAGTGTACTCCCTCTTACAAATCGGACATATCGACGAGTTCTTCAAACACTGCCTCAAGCAACTAGCATGAAAGAAGTGTTGACAAGGTGTAACCCTAGCGCGCTCCATAGCACTGAGACAAACAGCACATACGTCATCGCAGTTGCTAATTTCGTCTTCTGTAGCTTGCCTGAACCTCCCTAGCACTGCTTGCTCAGTCTTCAGTTGCTTCAAACAATTCAGCACCATATCCTTGAGTTTGAGGTAGACTGTGAGGTAAAAGGATAGCGCTGTGAAGGAAGCTTGGGCGTGGAAAGCCAGGAAAAACACCATAGTAGAAGCTAGGGAGATGATATAGTATCTTAGTAGCACTGGAACGTAGAGAGGTTCTAGTGCTTCCAACGAGTTTAATTTCAACCACAGCAGGATAGGCAGAAACAAATCTACGAACACTTTTTCAGTGCACATATAGTAAGTCCAAGTGACGAAGGTATATAAGGCTGTTGGCTGATAGTGCTGCAGACCTTGTTCTAGCCCGAATACCAATAGCATGAAAGTCACTGTGATGATGAAAGTGACTGCTTTGGTCCACTCCAGCACTATTTTCGTCGCAGACATTGCCACGTGCTTTATGTTACTGTGTTTCGTCATCCTGACAGTGATGGACCAATCTTCTTTCTCTATGAGCTCTTTGATGTAGCTGGTGCAGTAAGCTATGACGTTGTAGAACATCAGCGAGTATAGGCCGGTGATTTTTTTCTGAGGGCAGTTGGTTCCACCGAAGCTGCATAGGAGGACTCTGTCACAGATCATGAAGAAAACTAGCTGGAAGGAATTCATGTAATGGAGATGATTGTTCTCAAGAATGTAGGGATCTTTACCTGTGTCGTTAAATTTGAAATATTGGACATCTTCATGAACATTTTTTCGCATCTGTCCAGTGGGCCATATATACAGCAAAATATCTCCCAAACTGGTCCATACCACCTCAGGAAGAGATCTGGAAGTGGACAATAGAGAAAATTAGATTCCTAGTCCATCTTCAAATGGCGCCCTGTGGCAGAGGTGATTGGTTAAACTTAGCTTTATTATGTTGTGATACCTTCTCAACACATCAATATAGTTCAAGATTCACGTCAATATATTTTTTAGAGAAGTTACAAGTGTTTTAAGAAATTATATAATTTGTGAATTTTCATTAACAATAATGCAGAACCTATAGGGCACCCTCACCCTTCGAGAAGAATTTTAGACAATGATTCTTCAAGACAATTTGAGAAATTTGATCAACTCGATGCCACGGCAGTATGTTTTTTGTTTTTTCGGCAAGTGATAAGAGAAAGAGTCAGAAATGAGTGATATTGATTCTTCAAGTTGTTGATCAATAATTTGGAATGCCATACTTTCTCAAAACACTCGTATATATCTTTGTTTAAAAATAAGATATTGACGTGAATCAAAAACTATTGTGCTAATAAGAGATCACATTTCAATCCAAAACATAATGAAGCCAAGTTCAACCACTCCATTTCACGCACACACAGGGTGTTAAGAAGTAATGGGTGAAATAGTAACTTTGGTTTTTCCTATATAGGGTGGCATTGAAATAAGTGCAAATATTTCAAACACTGAGAAAGCTCGACGTCACGAGTCGTCACCTCTGTTAAAATTTCCATGCGGTAGGCACAATCACAATCCCGTATTTTGTTCAATTTTGGGATGCAATTTCTCGTTAATTAGAAGAATTGAAAAATAATCTGATATCATGGGAATATTCCTCAGACTCTTTCATATTAATATGTGCTGAATATGTGCACTTATTTCAAAAGTACCTTGTATAATGATCAAGTCATTAATATTTCACGGAAACTAATATTCAGGCTAACATTCCGGAAGATGAATCTACGATTTTATCAAAATTTCACAAGAATCGGACAAGGAATCAAAAAGTTACAGGGTGAACAATATGGGCAAAATTTTTTGCCGGTGAGTGTATGCATTAAATTGAAGGAAGGAAGGAACAAAATTCAATATCTGTTCAAGTTATAGCTTTTGTTTTATTTATACCGATATTTATTACGCGCCATTCTGGATCAACTTCGACATTAACATAGTGTCAATGTCATATCAACGTCATTATTATACTCCACCAATCTCTGTATTCTATAACTCAGCCTGAAGATGGGTATTTATGAGTCGGAAACATTGAGACTGTGTGAATTATTGATTATTACCCATAGCTGGTGGCTTTTTATTGTTTCTTATAGAGTCAAGAACACTTGATTTTATGCATGTTCCTATTCTTGCTCATTATTTCAAGAAAAACGATTATCATGTGACATTGAAGTCATGAAAACAAATTTCTGAATAATAAGAAAAATTGACACGGATTGCGCACCCCGCATTATTTGCTCCTGATCTCTTCCACATAGTAATTTGCAAAGTAATTAAAGAATTATCGAATTTTCATTGTACGTTGACAGCTTTTCAGCATAATATATAGTTAAGAGACATAGGCGTAACGAGAATTTGGGAATAAAGATGTGCACGGTGATCAATATTTATTTTTTTTAGGTTCCTGTTGCTATATACAGGGTATTTCTAAGTTTCATCGACAAGAGCCTAGAGAAAAAACCTTCCATGAAAATATGAAGATCTAAATTTGTCCTAGAATCGTTAGTCTTCAAGACTTTGTGAACAGAAAATAATACCCACGTATTTGATTTTTTGAGCCTCTTGATGTTCCCCAGAAAAACCAATAAGAAACATAACTTTTTGTTCCACTAAATTTTTTTCTCTCACTTCTTTCGGTAAAAAATACCTATTTTAGTCCCCCTGAACCACGAGACCAAAGAGTTATGTTTCAATTATTTCTTTGGATGTTCCTGAATTCAAGTCACCAATAATTGTCACTGAGAACTGGGAAGTGTCAAGACAAATACGAATTTGCCATAAAAAAATCCAAGTTTTATGTTGAAAACGGGAGCAGATTCGTTCCCGAAATGTCCAAAGATAAGTGAAAATTCGATATTTTCTCTATATACCTTAATTTTTTTTCTCCAAACCTTTTTCAATACAAATTGCCACTGATAAGCTAGTGAATTTTCCTTTCAGACTCTCTGATAAGAGAATTCTTCAAACGCAGTGACATTTTGGGGCAAATCGAGGGGCAAATCATCTGATTACTACACTATACTAAACTTCACGTATATTGAAATAAATAGTATGTATATTTTCATTTTATAGAGACGAGGACAGAAAATCCCAAAAAAGTCTGGAATAACAAATATTTGTATATATATATAGAGCTTTTGTTTTGCATTAATCCTATCAGACAATCATCTAGCTTACTCTCACTATCAAATATAATTTTTCAATGTATTTATATAGATAGTGGGAGACATAGTTATTTTTAATCAATTTCTAGAAGGTCTTGACATTTATCCTTATTTCCAATAAATGATACAAAAATTCCAGAAGATTACTTTGTATTGAAATATGCCAAGACATCAACAAATTTATTTATATTCTATCTAAAAAAACAAGGAGTAAACAAATAACAATAATTATTGTTATTGAACTCTATATACCGAATAATATAGTCGATAGTTCATATTTCTATCCTATTTTATTCAATAATTACATTGACAACAATTTCTCTGATAAACTACCAGGAAACGCATGTCTCGAGAAGATCCAGTAATGATGACAAATTGTTGTTTACTCGCATTACATACAAGGTGGAATATGATGTTTCCACGAATAATAAGATAGCCCTTTGATCGGCAAGTGATGGTTTTCATTAAAGGGATATTCAAACTAACTTCATTTCTTCATTTGTGGCCATAGGGTTGATTTTTCGTACGCCACTGGGTATGAGAGTGTCACTTTTTTCCTCATTGATATTTCGCAGACATTTTGAGGAAGTTGATAAAAAATATAAAAATGCATTATCACCCTGAATGTTTCTCATTAGTCCATCAAGTCGTCTTAGGAGGGACATTCCTAATCCACTCACTGGTAAGTGATTTTTTTAATTGTATTTTTACATCAAATTTATTGAATTGAATTGAACGAAACAGTTTTTTGGATATGTACTCGAATCAATGTAGAGAAATCGGTTATTGGTATCAGAAATCATTTCAGAACTTATATCATGCACGATGAAGGTTTCATATTCACTGTATACGCACTCAAATTTTCCGTAAGATGGCAATACCCTTCAAAAGATTATTCAATGAAATCAATTTCATCATCGTGATTATTTTCATCCTAAAATCCATTTCAATGGTATTTTGGTTTGGGCGTGTGTTGGTTTTTCATACCGCCATCTATTACGAATAAGCTGAGTATTTAGATCTATGCTGAAACTCAACTGGTCGAATCCAAACTGGCACTATCTATTTTTTGAATTGAATCGGCCGTTACTCAATGGAACTACGTAGTAAAAAATTCCAAAAAATTCCTTGTATCTAACCTCAGTTTGGATTAAACACGTTTTTGGCTTTTGGTTTTTGGCCTCATCAATTTTAATTGATATTTGTATTATTTACTGAGCTTTCTCAAGGGTATACGGGACCCTTCCCATATAAATATATCTTGGGAGCAAAGGTTAATTTCCTCCCATGTGTGTTTAATCAAACTTCACACGCGGGAAATGGACACCTTAAGGAAAAAAGGAATTGTTGAATCAAGCAGAATTTAATTGAATGAAGCAAATAAAAGTGTCATATATGCACGACAAAATATAATCTTGAAATGAGTAAATCTAAATCATGTTTCAGAGCGAATTTGAAGTTTGAATTAAGTAAACATGTATTGCATGAACTCTGGATCTTATTCAATCAAGCACATCCATGAATTGTTTATGGAGAGATATTGAATCGGCTCAGCAATCATTTTGTTTGATTCAAAATAACAACATATTGATTCAATCAAATATTTAGTTGATTCAATGAAATATTTGGTTGATTCAAAGAATTATTTGGTTGATTCAATGAAATATTTGGTTGATTCAATGGAATATTAGGTTAATTCAATGAAATATATTGTTGATTCAATGAAATATTTCGTTGGTTCAAGAAAAAGCTGTTTTCCATTCGACAAATTGTTTTGTTGAACCAAATTCAGTATTAAATCGGGAGTTTTCTGAAATTTCACATCAATAGAATGAACTCAAGTAGGAAACTAGTCGACTAGGCTTTGATTCTCTTCAGCTGATGCAAAACTATTTCAGGTTGTTAATCATCCTAAGTTCGATTTATTCAGCTGATATTTCGAACACAAAGAATCAGGCCTCACGCGTGTATAATGAATTTGAGGCAGGCATAGACGAGGCGAAATGATCGCCATCTAGAGGCGAATATTTAACTTGATGTAGAATTAACAAAATATTTCATTGATATTACATATTTCGTTGCTCTATTCAAGCAAATGATCCGTTCAAAACGAGTTCATTCATCATTGCTACATCGGAATAAGAAAACTTGTATGTTGTTTCAAATATATATTCTCATCAAGATGATTATTATCTCATCAAATCAACAAAATATTCATAGTTGAATCAACATCGACATTATTTCTTGATTTGAACAAGCTGCTTCATCCAACAAAAATAATTCAAGCATAAATAATTTGTTGATTCAAAAAATCTTTTTTTTTTGTGTTTGCTCCCTTAATTTAGAATAGCTATTAACTATCAACATTTCGCCGAATCTCACCTGATCCTTTATTGCTGAGCTGTCTGAGCCATCGTACCGGGTACATATAGTTGGCAGAAATCAAAACAGGGAGTACCAAAAACGAGTAGGTCGCTAGACACCATCCTCCGAGACTCAGAAGAAGAGGAGCGTGTCCTCTCGAACAATACGGAAGAAGAAATAGGACTGAGAGAAGACACACTGAAAAAAAAATGTCACCATCAATAATCTATCAAGAGTTCAAAAAATTTCCAAGAATAATATTTTGAGTTCGCATGATACACATTCTCATCAGTTGGCGCTACTAAAACGTCAATGTCAAACTCAAAAATCGACAAATTTTGGCAGATAGCCCAAAAGGCTGTAGCCTGTTTTATCGGGAATACATACTAGACAAATGATGTAGAATATTTGAACAAATATAATACCTCAAGTTATGCATAATCAGCGTGCATAATATAAGACGATATCGTTAGGAAGAGGCCAAATGACAACAAAAGAAGAAGAATATTTATCAGTTCTACCAACATAGAGTGCCTCGACATCTCATTTTACGCGCTTTAATGGATGTGGCCATGCTTGTCACCACTGACAAGTACGAATTGTCATCATTCTCAGATTTGAAACAAACAAATTTCAAGTGTTCGTTGAAGCTTCAAATTCCAATATTCATTTCGTGGAAATACATTCATCGACATAATATTTATATATAACTACACCAATAGCATCATGTGCCTTTGGTGTTACGCCAATATTAGGATTTCGAATAAAAATATTTCTGCACTGAAGGGGTACAGAAAATGACATTCCATCTCTTATTTGTGTCTCATATTTTTCATTCAGCTCTTCAATAAAATGCTAAGTGTGTTCACACTCTTTAAAGATGTCGCTTTTTTCTGATGATACGGCAGTTCTTGCATATTCAGCTATAAACATCCAAAGCGCGCTGAATTCGCTTCAGGAGTACTTCCTAAGATGGAAGATCAAATTGGATCCTGATAAAACACAATTGGTCGCACTCGGAAGGGAGCAGAGGCCTGGATGGTCATGAGTTAGAGTAGTCTTCACTTGAGTCACTGGGTATTAGTTAGATATTAGTTATCTAACTAGTCTCTAGTCTTCACAAGTAGAATACTTAGGTGTGTGCATTGACGAAAAGCTCACCTGGGCCCAGCACATTGAACAGCAAGTTTCAAAAGCTAAACGAGCCATTGGAGCCCTTTATCAATTTCTAAACAGACGAAGTGAACTGGGTTTGAAACCAAAATTGAATATTTACATCATGGCCATCAGGCCAATCATACTTTTTTTTTTTTTTTTTTTTTTTTTTTTTTTTTTATCGCTTGGAGCGCACGAGAGGGAATCCCTATAATGTTCAAAGAACATCGTGCGTTCCTAGGGAGGATAGGGATAGGAGGTAGGTATTGGAATTTTTTTTGAACTTCTGGAGATTATATGTTGTTGGGAATACTTCCTCAGGCAATGAATTCCAGAGCCTAGCCGTTCTATGGATGAAGGAGTCTTGATAAAGTGCTGTTCGACATCTTTCGAGGTTGACAACGAAGGGATGTGCTGACTGGGCTTGTCTAGTTCGTCTGACTGGTATTGCGAGTGAAGGGATGATAGCAGAGATTTCCGAAGAACATTGCCCGTGAAAGTATCGATAGAAAAGTGAAAGGTCGCCTGTATGCCTTGATAGTCTGAGGCCACACAGCTAAATCTCATATCACCAGATTACAAACATTACAAAACAAAATCGCGAGAATGGTGACAGGATCTCCTTGGTATGTTCGGAATAACCAGATCGCCAAGGATCTGAAACTCCCTTCAATCGTGTCAGTCATTAGAGAACGAAACATCAAGACTTTCGAAAAAGCTGAGGTTCATAAGAATCAGCTTCTTCGAAATGCAGTTGATTATTACCCAGGTGATCAATCAAATTTCAAAAGATCGAGATAGAAACTAGAGAAAATATCAACATTATGACCAAATTTGCTCTTTTCAAGTTTTTGATATGTATTTGTTTGGGGCAGAAGGGCTGTTCGCATCTAAGTTCAATATCGTTTTCTTTTGTTGGTTTTTTTCGTTTCATGATAGATATCAGGATAAGAGGGACTATTGCCTGGTCTGAATCAAATAAAAGTAAGATCCAAAAATGAAACTTTTATGAAACTTTATAAGGGTGTGGATATATTTGACAATATTAAAGTATTAATGACATTGCCTAATTTGATAACGAGATATTATGTTTAAATAAGAGGGGTTTATTGGGCTGCCCAATATTTTCTGTTGGGTTTCACGACGGCCCTATTGAAAATCACAGCTGGCATTGTTATTTTATTAATAGATACCTAACGTATTCACTAATCTGAAGGCATTATCCAATTTAAAAGTTTTTATTAGATTGGATCTACACAACACTCATAGACACATAGACATTTGTTGTAGAATGTAGAGTACCTATATAAAATCATACCAAATCATACCTCCAGCCTACTACAAGGGCGTCGATAAGGGGAGAGAGGAAATAATAATAATAATAATAATAATAATAATAATAATAATAATAATAATTAACGTCTTTATTACTCACATCACATCACATCTTACATCAGTACATGAAAAAAGAAAAAAACAATTGAAATGAGTAGAAGGTGAAGTTCAATTTAGGTGGAGATGATGAATCACCACTAAATTGTTCTTCTACTTAAACTTCTATAATAAAGTCTCTTATGCCGCATTATTTCAAATATTGATGTCTGCATGATCGAGTTTGCTATACCTAAGATTGAAAATAGTACTTTTAGGAATTCAATAAGAAATTAAGAAGAGGGGAAAATACATGATACGTAATATGGAGCCGATATTCAAGATTTTCATGGTATCAATTTGTTATACTCACGCTGAAATGAATATTTTTTGTAGGTGCTTTTAAATTTGTGAAGACCTTCATTTTTTATTGATTGTGGTATAGAGACCGCTTGAAGAATTCTGTTCTGAAATGGGGGGGGGGGGGGGTGATAACGTACCTTTGTATCGTATATTCAAATTGTGCATGGATGTCGGACCTTCTGTGGAGGTAAGGAGGTGTTTTGCTGATAATGATTTGGTGGAAAAGGCAAGCACTGTGTAGAATTCGTCTATGTTCCATATTCAACTAACCAGATTCACGAAGTTTGTAAGTGATTCTTTGCCTTCTGCGTATACCATATATTAGTCTCAAACAAGAGTTTTGAACTTTTTGAATTTTCTTTTTAATGGGGGTAATGACTTCACCCCAAGAATAATAATAAATACATAGTGGATTATTATATTTCTTTATTGAATTTGATAATTAGGATGGGTTATAGATATAAAAGACGTTTTTGGATGTTTGATTATTATAGTGATTCATTTGTTCAAAGAAATTTAGCTTCCATGAAGTACCTAGGTACCTACTGAATAAATTCATCATTTCAGAAGTTGGTGTTCGAGTAGTGAAGCCCACGACAGCTTCTTGAAATGGAACAACCGATATACCAAGTGTACGTTCACAAAAAACTCCCGAGATAATGTCAAATCAACAACTCACAAATCGATAAACCGCCCCTTTGAAGACAACCCTCATTGTCGCAAATTTAAATTAATAATCGACCTATTACAGAATATTTCTGAGAAATGGATAGTATGGTTGGAGATAAATTCATTCAGTACTATTTAACCGAAGCACTATATAATATGTTATTTGATGGCTCTCTATATAACATAATTTGTTTTTTCATTAAGTAAGCCTTTACCCCTCAAGAAAAAATATTATCGACGCCCCTGGCCTACTATAAGTATTTTAAAGAGTCTATTAGTATGAATTAGTTGGTACACTTGCACTAGAAGAAAATAATTTTATCAACAGTAAGAACACAAGATTTTTTTATCGCATAAATTTCTCTTCCTAACGAAAACATTTGCCAATCAGTAATTTCTCTCGAAAAACTGACATTAGACAAAATTGCTCGACCTTCTATCGATGTCAAAATGACTCACGACATTCGCCAAGTATAGCATTTCCCATGGAGGAGTTGATTTATCGTGTTTTTTTTTAATCGGTTGCTTTGATCTCAATAAATGAATCTACACTCTCATCGTAAAACTTCTTATTGTTTTCAATTTCACTCCACCCTACTCACCGGTCTCTGCGATTTTTTCATCCCTTTCTCTAGGTTGCAGCTTTGACAAGGTGTGCAGACTCCTCAATCTGCCCCTAACCCTGGTGATCATACCCATTTCAGTCAAAACTATGAAGGAAATCTCATAACACAGCACAAATTGAACTCAAATTGAAGCAAGCTTTATAGTTTCTGATACACGAATTCGTTGGTGACACTTCAGTTCCACGTTTACAATTTTCTGGCGTTCATAGCCAACTATGTATAGGTATGAAAACGGAAATACACCACTTTCGGTGCACAGCCTGCTCTGTTTTTAACTGAATACCAGTGCGCCACGATCTTATTTTCTTGTTTTGATGAATATAGAAGCGGAGATGCGTTTGTTTTTTTCCTGTTTCCCCTGAATTTTTCAGGCGTTATTTGCGTCTTTATGCTTGTGCGAAGTTTTGGCACATAATATCCAGGCTGATGAAATGAAAATTTCGACATTTTTTTGTAACTTCGGAATAAAAAATTCGTAGAAACCTTTCCAATTCAATAAGGCTGAGAATGGCTGTGTAAACATTGACTTGCTTACCTTATGGACATGTCGAAGGATTTTCGAATAATCTTGGGGTTAGGGCCCAAACAAATCCACTGGATATACAGGGTGTTTCATAATTGAATGTCAATATTTGGGGAGGCGATTTTTGGGCCCATTCTAAGAAGAAAGTTTCATATGAACGTATGACCTAAACATCCTAACTTTTGAGATACAGGGTGGTAAAGTTCTCAAAAATTAATAGTTTTTTATTAATATCTGTAATACCACTTCAGATATTCTGATGAAATTTGGCATACATGTACTATGTATCAAGATGCATCAGTAAGCGTACCACATTTTTTGTTGTTGCCACCAGTGGCGTTCGTATGGAATTTCACATACCTATTTTGGCAGACATTAATGGTACGCCACTGATTAATCTCCAAATTGAAATCATTCCTGAAATTCCCAAACATTTCTAAGCAAATTTGATCACTACAATTTTTTCAATCTGATGCACGGTTTTCGCTTAAAAATATAACAAGCTTTTTACTACATGATTATAGCAATATCGTTAATATGACAATATCACAATGCAGAGAACTAGATTTTATTTCTTAGATCAAATTTCAGAAATACAATTCATAGTTTATGAACTTCGTATTCATATTTGGTATTTTGGAATTATCACTTCTCATTGTAGTAGGCTATATTAATTTTCGAGAATTTTACCACCCTGTATCTCAAAAGTTGGGATGTTTAGGTCATATGTTCATATGAAACTTTCTTCTTAGAATGGGCCCAAGAATCGCCTCCTCGAATATTGACATTCAATTATGAAACACCCTGTATATACAGTCTGTCCAAGATGAGGTTGCACAGCATGGGGATCTCGAAAACGGTAGGAGATACGTGGAGATACGAAGTTGGTAAAATGAAGGATAAGTTGCGAACATCAAACTTTTGTTTTTTAAATGCGATCTTGAAAATTTTTCGATAGATTCTGAAAGCGGTCTTATTTTGGATTCAACCATGTATTATAAAAGGTGATGTGAATGTGTTTCGACCTATTTTTAGCCATCATCAATGTTTTTTCGAAAATCCAAAGGAAAAATGTTATCAGTTCCACTCATTTTGTAGGAAAATTAGTCAACACACTAATACCTTATTAACTGGTTCCAATTGATAGAATTATAGGGATAATTACTTCGAAAAATCTAATTATGACAAGCTCCTTTGGAAAAATACGAATACAATTTTTTCTGTCCTGTTGTATCTCAATAGGTTTCTGGGTACCTATACCTAAGAAGTCAACCTGAAAAAACAATTTTTAGAAGGTTAGTGGCAAATTTGAAAGAACATGATGGTAATTCAAAAAACCAATTCATTCTCGTTAGAAACTATGTGATGAAGATAAGGTGAACATTGTATTAGTTGCAGTTACTGAGAATTCGACCATATCATCATCGAAGCATTCAATAGTATAACCCCAGAAATGCTTAGTAATGTCTTGGAAATAACTGTGAGAAGAGGATATCTTATTTGTTTAGAAAATAATGATTATCATTTTGAACATTCTTTATGAATGTTTCTGTTGGCATTGTCGAAGTTAAGTTATTGAAGTAAATCGTGTAAGAATTCATTAACAATTTGAATCGCTGCATTGAATAATTGATTAAAATATTTTTCATTCACTTTTCAGTATTGAATAACTAGTTCATCAATGTTTGACACTAAATGATCAGAAATAAGTGGAACTGATGGCATTTTTCCTTTAGAATTTCGAAAAAACATTGATGATGGATAGAAGTAGGTCGGAACACATTCAAATCACCTTGTATAATACATGGTTGAATTCAGGATAAAAGAGATTTCAGAATCTGGGAAACAATTAAATATAAGTTATTTGTAAAATAACACAGAGTTCAATTGATTTTTCAATAAAAATTGTCACTGACAAGCTAGTGAATTTTTCTTTTAGGCTCTCTGATAGGGAAATTCTTTAAACGCAGTGACATTTTGGGGCAAATCATCTGATTTGTCCTTACTACACGTATATTGAAATAATATACATATTTTTATTTTATAGAACCTACAGAGTCTACAGACAGTATTTACCGTTTAGAAGCATTCAAATTTTTTTCGTTAGTTTTTCTTAAACGTTTTACCTATCCTGAAGTGCATAAAATAGTATATACACCTCGAGACTAAAGTGATTTACTTTAATAACTTTTTGGCTAGGGATTTAAAATACCACTTTATTCCCTAGGTGTATAATGTACTATATTAGATCACAATTGGAGCATTTTGATCATTTTTACATTCTGATTTTAAGATATTCTGTGGTTTTGGCAAACGAAACCATCTGACTGAACACGTACAGGGTTTACTAACACGAGATGAGCTATTTTTGATTTCGGCTTGGTAAACATGTTTTCATTTCAGTGCTCATTTTTGTTTCGCTAAAAGGGCGTTGTATGGGATCGACCCGCTTACGTATTCCGTTTCTCCATTTTCTGTTTTCAACCACGTATCAAATAGCAAATAATGAAAATGATATTGATAGATACGAATAATCATAGAGTGGTTACTAGTTGCTAGAGTTCCTGAATGTACTTGACACTATTGTTTTTACGTTTTTTGTATATTAGAGTACGGACACTATACAAGCCAGTGACAATCAAACATAATCACGAACGATTTTGAAGCATATGTTTTTCCAGACAAGGACAAGAATATGTTTTTCGCTCAGATAAAGGATCCTCGCATCTCCCTTCCTCCACAAGTCCTGGAAAGAGTTCATCCATATATCTTTCTCTGTCTTTGATTTTTGTATACGATAAATTGATTAGAAAATTATTTCTTTTCGAAATATTGAATGATAAGGCTGAAGGACCTCAATGGAGGTCGATATCAAGTTGATATGTACATATATACCAACGAAATACATTTACTATTCCTATGAAAAAAAAATTTTTTTAAAAATGAAATAAATATCTTATATGTAGGTATATATTTACGTTCAGTTGAATATTTTTTCATCACAAAAGGTCTGAATGGGATAAAAACTGATAAATTTCGACCAATGAAACATACTTTTATTTCGTATGGAACAATTTCACTTGTACAAGAGTGGTAGATAATAAGTAATCAATAGATGAACAAATGATATGGCAACAATAACAGCTGATTTCAGTTAGGATAAATAATGAAGGTTCTTCAAGACATAGGTACTAATATTATCCAATTTGTTATTCAAATCTTCCATTCGGTTTTTCAGATGCGAAAGTTTTTCATAGTATTGTTCATCGAAACTATGAATTTTGCTCAAAATTGCCTGGATATTTGCTTGTTCAATTTTCTTGTATTCCTCTGAAGATATTTGCTGATTTTGTTTCAAATCTGAAATAACTTTCAGGTAATAGTTCTGAATTTTGCTAACTCTGACTTTTGTATCTGAATCTTTTTGCTATAGCTTATTTTCCAACTCTCTATTTGTTTCCTGAATTCCTCACTCTCTTCGACTCGTAAACCTTGGATTTTTGAATATTCCTGCTCGAAAAATTCGATTCTCAAGTCTCTTTCTTTCAAACTATGTTCGAAATGAATTTCATTGTCTGCAAGTTTTCCGTTTCTTGTTGGTTCTAAATTGGAATAAAGTTCTTTTCGATACTCGCTCAGTATATAAATTGTGGGTTCGGCTCTTCCTCTCAATACGATCCTATATTCTTCAACATCTTCCGTTCTGAAGTGTACCTGATGAAAGTTCTTTCACCTTTCACCCCTCCAGAAATACGTATAAGTTGCTTAAACTGTTTGTTCAGATTTCAAAATGTCAATAAATTTCCACAAAACCAAGTGTACGATCTTCCCAGATGAAATTTACCGAGGATTTTTGTTCAGGATTCATTTTCATGAGAGATCTTTTACAAGGGATATTTTTCCATGACTATATATTTCCTGGATGATTTTTGTATAGGAGATACGTTCCTAAATTCATACTCTAATACATTTAGAAATCAAATTGAATCCACAGTTGAGATAAATGAATGATATTTCATGCGTCATCAACGCACTGTGTTATTACTGAGTAAATGAAAATTTTTCGATTGAAAGCATCTACTGCTCTTTACGATTCCTAGAAACATATGAATGGGATTCAGAATCTTTGGCACGAATCAAAATAGCCTGAGGTCATCAATGTTTGTCAGCAAAATTCATTTCATTGACGTTTGGAGCCTGTGTATACTGATGTGTAGGTAGAGAAATTTTATTCGCGGCACAATAATTATTCCAAGGATTGTCACATGGTCACATCATATCACTAATTCATATGTCATTCCATTCCTAGAAGTATACCGGGATGGTCGAAGTTATATGATCTAATTTGTTCATTGTCATCTCATGAAGATTATGTTGAGGTGTTGACTAGTTTATTTGTAGCAGGAAATGTAGGGAACATTTGAAGATGAGGATAATGACATTATCTATGCCATATGCAATGTGTGTTTGAATCAATTTTGATCATTTCTAAATACACGGTTCACAAAAATATGTTGTGTACCTAGGTACTTTTTTCATGAGGGTGTGTGAGTCTTTAATGCACACACTGTATTACATTCTTTCAACTGTGCCTATAGACTATATACAACATTATGGGGATTTTCCGATGAAGTTGTTGATTGATGAAATTTAGTTGTGGGTGAGAAGTTTGAGGAAAATAAATACTTATATACGTTCTTCTGGAAATAAACATTAATGAATCAATGTGACACATGACAATTTTTGTTTATTTTGTAGAAATCGATATTGCTCATCTCTGAATAATATTTGCTCCGACTTGTTTGTTGATTTTTCATCTGAAAATGAAAAGCACAATAATATATCAATCATCCGTATTCATAGGGAATCCTATTCCATATATGTTAGAATTGTCTAATGAAGATGTAATTTCAATTGATGAACAGTCGAAAAAGAGTAATATTTTTGAAACCTACATATTAATCAAAGAAAATCGTTCAATATATCCCTATAGTAAATTTTAACCGTTTCCGAATCATTATGATTTTTGTGTAAATGATTTAGTTAGCAATATGTAATACTAATTTTCAAACGTTTTCTAATCATCATGATATTACCTAGATACACAATATATCTGAGAATATTCCTTTCCAATAGTTTTACACCCAATCAATAATCGAAGATTCGTGATTGGGTTTTCTGAATTCAAAATATATTTCCACTCCCTGTCGTATGGTGAATATTGATTTGTCATACATTAAAACAAATAGATGCATTAGATTTTTGAAAATGCTTACCTATTTTAAAAATTTTCAAAATAGAATCATTGAAATTTCCACCATGGCCTTTAGAATTTTACCAAAACTCATACAGTTTGGTCAAAAATATCTTTTATTTGGATGTTCTTGAATTTGAAAAAATAATACTTATAATTTTTTTAAATAAACACCTTGTATTTTATTTAATTCACAAATATCTATACCACCCTATATAAAGAAGTACCTAGGATTATTTTGGAATGCTTATTTATATAATAAGAATATGTTGATATTATTGTTGTACTGGTAAAATCTGACATAATCAACATTTCATTAACCTTATTTTTGAAGAACAGACGTCAGTAAAATATATACTCATCAACAGTGACGGAGTATCAACAGAATGAGAACACCAGTACCAATTCTATAATGAGGAAGACAAAATTGAGAAGCTTGATCAAGTTTTCTCTTGAAACTTATTACCAACACGTTACATCATTTCATATATGAAGGAATAAAGGAATTGAGGTGTATTTTGTTATCTATTTGTTGGATTGGATAGGATTTGAGTTTATGAACGAGTTTGTGAATTCTGAAAGCGCCAAGCTCAATAATCGAACCCACGACCTCTTGATTACAAGTGTGATCGCCTGCCCGTGCGACTTCGGAACAAAAAACAAATGAAGCATGAAGCGTATAGCGTATAGTATATATAAAGACATTCATTCATGGAAAAGTTAACAAAAAACTCAGTTACAAACTAAAAGAACATTTTCTATTGGATTAGGAGAATCGGTTGATTATTTTCAACGCGTTAGGAGAGATCTCGGGATGTATATTTGAAAGAGCTAAGCCAGTTAGCCTCTCTTCTGACATTCTTTCTCTAAGCAAAATTTCATGCGCCTCAAAGTAGAAAATGACCTTTCTGCTGTGGCGGCGATTATGGGGGGGGGGTGCCAAAATTGTCAGTAAAATCTTGATATTAGGATATATGTCATTATCACAAACTTCAATTGTAGAAGGGACACAACTGGTCACGTTTGAACTATTTTCTGCGAGCTCTCGCCTCCACTTTGAAATCCATAGCTGGTACTCTGTAACGACCAAAGAAGCAGGAACTCCCAGATAATGAGTATAGAAATCACATTAATAAGGTCATGCTCAGTGTATTCTGATTTTGGCATAAAAATACCTAGATTGTTGATTGTAGATGGGTCGTATAGGCTGGGAGACCTCTCGATCACTGCGACCTAGAAGATCTATTGTGATTACACCTATCTAGTTTTGGTCCTCTAACCCTAGACTTCTGATGAAGCCAACGATTTTCCTGACGGTTGAATTTTCCACTTCAGCAGGGGTGAGATAGACCTGTTCTAGGTGGTTCAGCCTTTGGCGGACTAATACTTCACATGAGCAAAGTATGTGTTCCGCGGTTTAGGTCACATTGTTACAAAAGCGGCAAGTGTCAGTCTCCGCCAGGCCCATCTTTTTGAGGTGGTACCTCAGAGGGCCGTGTCCTGTGAGAAAGCCTGTGATCAGCTTTAGCTCTGGTTTGCTGAGGCTGAGTAGCTCTTTGGCTCGGTTCTGCGAATGGTTGATGAACCTTTTCGCTTGTCGTTGACCTGGAGTTGCTCTCCAGTAGGAGGACTAAAAATACCTAAGCAAAACTGGTACAACGTATCTTCAGAAAGGTGGTCTTTCAGATCATTCGTTACGCTGTCCAGTAATGGAATATAAACAGTTCTTCGGTAATATTCCTCTTCGTTCCCTTGGTGATTATCGCGATGAGTCTCCCGAGATACAGTACGTGGTGCAGATTTCGGGGGTGGGGGAGGGGGGTCATGACCCCTGTGACCCCCTCTCGGGCCGCGCCTGGTCACACTTGCACTGTCGGGCATTGTATTTTCAAACGAAATTCTGTGAGCCATGTGTCCGTTTGCTGCAATGCTGCAAAGTCCAATCAGAAGACACTGCCACCACTCACTCATGTGCGTGAAATCAAAACAATACAAAATGAGAAATGAGAATAGCCTGACCAAGAGATAACTAACTAAACAGGCCAAGACATGAATGACATACCGCCAAACTAGAGACATCAGTCGTTCTTTGACTCAAGTTGAATATAGTAGGTAGGCGCTGAACACCGACACCAGCATGAGACTATTAGGGCACTAGTTTTTTCGGTGGACCAGCGTTTTTTAGTTAGTTAAATGTGCAAAAATTATGATTTTTGGAATATTGTGATTATGGTAGTTCGAGCAACGAGGCATTGTGTTTTTGTTTGTCTGAAAAGCAAACATTTCAAGGTAAAAGATCTTTCATTGATATTTTCCTTTAAATTGAAGTACACTGCTCCACAATGGAATTATTCAAAAATATCAGAAATCAAGTTTATTTCGTCAAATTGATAGTTTCTTTATCTTATTCTTCTCATCATTACCGTACGCTGGGTTTATAGATTCAACTGAGCTAAGAATTAAACTAACAACTATGAATTTAAAAAGTTGAATACAAGGAAACATCTATGAGGGTTTAGGTGAAACTGCATTTATCATGCGATGGTTTTTTTTTTCGAAAATTTTTATTGGTACTTACGTATTTTTGTCTGAAATACACGAATTTGATAATGAAAATGTGAACAAACCATTATTCATCAAGATATTTCACTTACAAATTTCACCTTCTTTTCCTCCTGTCTTCTGGATCGCATTTGAAACAATTTGCCCTTCTTTTTTCATCATTGAACAATGTATATATGTACGACACATTTTTTCCTATTATAGGGATTCCCTTTCGTGCGCTCCAAGCGATAAAAAAAAACGAACCAAAAAAAAAATGAGTCAGCAAGAAATATGATTTTCTTGTGGTTTTTCCATATTTATGAGTGAAAAGAAGGAAGAATATCATTTAAAATGATGGCGTGTGTAATGTCATTCAAAAGCAATCTGTTGACATTTGACATCTCGTATTTGAATTGACTATTGATAGAATGGCCGTCATCTGGTATGCTTGTTCACTAAATATGAAAAATTCACCAAAAAAATATTTCCTGTTGAATTTTCTATATGAAAATGTGTCATTGAAGTACATCCTGAGTATATAAAGTGTCCAATGACAAAATAAGAAGAGCAAGTAGATGTACATGCATCCAAAACAAGTGGAAAATGAAGGCGAAATTTCGAACTTTTTCTTGAAATATCTCGATAAATAGTGGTTTGTTCACATTTTCATTATCGAATTCGTGTTTTTTAGACAAAAATACGTAAGTACCAAAAAAAATTTCGAAAAAAAAACCATCGCGTGATAAATGCAGTTTTACCAGGGTTCATACATTTAAATCTGTCATTTAAATTAAGAATTAAGAATTACAAAGTTGACCAACTTTCAACTTAACAACTGAGAATTAGGAAATTCTGGAGGCAGAACATGAAGATTGGATTTGTTATTGTCCAAATGGAGATTGGTGATATTTAATTGGATAATATTTTTTATGGATTCCTGAAATATGGAGACCAAAATTACTTTTTAACAACATTTTGGTCTCAAGTCAAAAGACATTTCACATCTAATTCTTATTTATTATCAGATATGTATAAACAGCCTCATGATTAATAATTGTTGATTGTTAATTGATAATTCCTAATTGTTAGTTTAACTGAATCTATAAACCCAGCACTAGAACTATTAATAATTCTTTCAACTATAGGCGATCAAAAATGAAATTGAAAACATTCTACAAAGAAAAAGAGTCTTACATGAACATATCCAATGAAATGTAAATTTTAGACTGAGAAAAAAGCGATTTGCATAACGATAAATCGCATTCCCTTCTACATCTTCTAGGTATACAGGGTTATGATAAAGTAATGCACAAAATTCATAAAACGTACAACGATCACTTTTGAAAAAAATGCAAAAACACGTCAAACTGTTCTTTTTATTCCGCATCTTTTGACATAAGTTACAAAAATAACACGTCAGAGTTGTCAAAGTTATGACGTCATCAACAAATTTTCTTAATGGGAAGCTAAGATTTGTATTACATCATGTGAGCCCTACTGCAACTATTTTTCCCTTGTGTAAAAACACAAGCTCTATCACATAATGTAATAAAAATCTTAGCTTCCCATTAAAAAAATTTGTTGATGACGGCATAACTTTGACAACTTTGACGTGTTATTTTCGTATCTCATGTCAAAAGATGCGGAATAAAAGAAACAGTTTGACGTGTTTTTGCATTTTCTTCAAAAGTGATCGTTGTACGTTTTATGAATTCTGTGCATCACTTTATCATAACCCTGTATAATAAAATGACTCTTCTTCTCTCGTTTCACTGAATTGTTTTCAAGAATCTCGGATTTTTTGTCAACAATGATAAATGTTTAATCAAGGCCCCATCCTAATGATAAATAAACAATATATTGGTACTGGAACAACAAATTCCAATAATTTCTTCAGTCCGCCAGCATAAAAGAATTAAACGCCATTATCTTAGTTAGATATCACATTACCGAGCACATTATATAACAATCTTACGGAACATCATCTTCTTATAAAGTGATACTGTTTATTTGAATTTGAAGGGTATTTTGAAATTTCATCATGCTATGTGCTATCTTTCCTTGTTTGGAAAAGAAATTATCAAAACAATTTTTTAATAATTTATTTCAAGTCGCATCGATCATTAGCGACTAAATATCATTCATACATTCTGAATTGTATTGATTACAATAATATCACCTAAATAATTCAGTCGATGTTCCTACTCACAAGTGTCTTCAAAATTATCTGCGGATTTTTGGTGGAACAAAAGAAAATGCTCGACATTATTTTAAAAATGGTTCGATGTGTTTTTTTCTAATGTACCTAGTTCAGGCATCTTCAAGAAGAGGCTGAAGAGGTCAGTAAAAAAAACAAATGAAATGTATATACTTGATCTAGAGTAGCATGTTTTTACTCCTCTGAAAAATACGAGAGGCAGGCGAAGAAAATTAATTATCCATACTTCTTTTGGAACTGTACCACCATCTAAAAACACCCTTTATAACTATATCCGAAATATAAAAGTGTATCAGAAAAATGTATTTTATCAATATACATTCATGCAGGAAATTTCAATTTGGTGGCTTTTACCGTTTAGAAATTATGCAGAAAAATTATTTAAATTTATTCAACTTTGCAATGATTTATATATCTCCCTCAATACACATTTTGGACCGTTTTGGGCTATCAGTTTATTTATCAAACTATTCTTATTTTTCAATGTTCTATCACCTCCAGGAAACTCGGTACACATTTTTGACTCACCCTGTATACAGGGTGTACATAAATGGCACCGAAAAAATTCAAGAGGTGTTTCCTTGTGATATTTTAGGAAATAAAGTTCATATAAACATGTGTCCTAACTTGCTTCGTTTTCGAGATACAGGGTAGATTGTAGATTATAGATTGTAGATGGGTCGTCTAGGTTATAGGATACCTCTCGATCACTGATCACCTAGAAGATCTATTGTGATTACCCCTACTCTTGATACACCCTGTATATGACAAAGAAAGTGTCACTTTTCCTCCATAGACAATTCGAGTAACAGCTCTGTAAGAATAACAAGAATTCCAAGATGATTTCCTCATTACTCATTTCTCAATTTATACTTGGGAAATTTCAGATCCAAACAACAAAATTTTAATATAGTTGCTTATTATTTGTTCAGATTTGTGCAGACATGCATGCTTAAGTCACATGATTTCAAGACAAATCAAGATTCAAGCGTTTAACGTTAAGTTAGTTTTACCAATAATAATGGGTCGGCCTAGGTCAGGAATCGATAAAAGAATAAGAAACTAGGTTGTGCTATGAGAGATACCTTCAATTAAATGTCACTGTGAAATTAAAATGTTCCAATCTTTTCGATTGCATGTAAGTAATACTTAACATTATTATATTTCCTTATTCAATCAGGTTGTAACCCAAAAGTTGAACGAGAAAAAATTTTCCAAATGAATCGTTTAGTTCACTCCTTTCTTCCTGATAGCTTCATTTCCGAATTTAATGAAGCAATTCTAGTTCCAACTCACAACTTCACATTTGTCTGTGAGACTAGTGTTAGTTTTTATAACTCACCTTTCTTTAGAAATTTTTGCGTCTGATGTACCCAAATATCACATAACTCATTCATTTCATTCAAATAGATCTTTCATAAACCCTGATGTTCTGCTTTTAGAACACTGTTTTACATTGATGGAATCCCCCTGCTCCGATTCTGAAAATGGAACAAAATGTTCTATTAAACGGTAGCATATATCTTTGAATTGTCTAAAAAATATTCCATCAACCAGTTTTTGTGATATTGATTTAACAACCGAAATACATCAGTGCATATAAAAGGATGTAAAGGAAACGTCACAATTTTACCTACATACTCAAAAAACAGATTAATATTATGATTAATGCACCCTTGCATATTTTCTGTGTCCGAACATAGGTCCGCAAATGCATTGTTCTCAAGATCGAGGTGTTAAACTTACCTATTTGGCCACCCTCTTAGTTTTTTCATTTATGGAGTGATTCTCACGAATTTTCTTCTGCAATGTAGAGGGGAAAGTGTATATTGGAGCCAAGCGGCGTCCATTTCTTTTAAACCAAGGCCTACTAAGTCACATTCAGAGGCTGAAAAATCCAGAATCCTCATTAGCGATTTTGTTTTAAGAAATCCGCGTACACCACTGGAATCAGAGTCTTCTGAAATAAACTATGCCTGTAACAACTTTCATGAAAAAAAATTCAACATTGTCTCATCTTTACCAAATTGGGACCGGTATGGATGACCATCAATAGGATCAGAGCCACTTTATAAAAAAAAAGATTAAGACTTGAGATTTATCACCTAACATTTAAGGCTTATCACTTATGACAGATGGAACATGGAAATATCATTGGCCAACTTCCAACTTAAGAAGTGCTGATAAATGATCATGAATGGAATGAGGATGAGTGCTCATCCAAAAGTGACATCTCAATTTCCCGCCATTCAAAAATTATATTTGTTTTTCTTCTGATAGAAAATATGGATACTGTACCGTTCTTCAAAAATACACTAGATGATCAAAGGAGTGAACCAGTTTTTGTTATGCAAGGAATAGTAATTACTTCCTAAATAATGTGGAGATATAATGTATGTGGGCATGATTTTAGGGATATAAATTGAAAGAATGATATCAGAACACGAAATTTCGATTTCCAACTATTTTCTAAAACTAAACTTTGAAAATCTGGTTCTGTATCAGAAACTAGATGTCAGTAATGACAGAAGACCATGTTTCTCCCTAGAATCTTAATTTTTTTATAACTGAATCCACTTGAGTCTCAAATGTTTAAATGTTAAATCTTAAATGCTAAAAGTTTTTATGAAGTCACCCTCAGTTTTTCGGAAACTCTTTTAGCACAGTGCCGTGCGTTTTTATTGAAATGAAAAGGGGTCAATTTTTCATGAAATCATATTAAGAATTTTTTTCAGGAAATCTGACCTCATAATATTGTTTTTCTTGGTTTCAAACCCCCTTATGTGCATGAATTTTCACACACCCTGTATACCTGAAAGGCAGAAACTACACCAAATATCCAAGTTCACAAAATATACAAATTACAAATACCTCACCATATCATTATACAGTATCAGGACAAATTATTTTACTAATACCTATATCAGTGGACTAAATAGCCTATACAATATGTCTAATCTGATGAATACGTGAATAACTCTGCTCTGTTGATGTTTATGAATCGACGTCTATTCACGTAATCTGCAATCATGGAATTCCTCAAATATCTCAATGATTAACACAAAATGCATCTCTTTTCGCGCTTCATAATTTGTGCAATCCAGTTCGTTCAACTTGAGAATACAGGGGAAACCCGACAGTGCAGCTTTCTTCATATCCCAGATAGCCGCCAGAATACGCTCGTCAACATTCCAGTTGTCCCATCTAGAGTTCCTGAATGTATTTCACACTGCTGTTTTGACGTTTTGACACTATGACAAGCACTGACAATCAGATATAACCACAAATAAATTGAAGGAAAAAGCGGGAACTGAAGGTACACGGACGTACATGACATAATTTTCAAAGATTTGACAATTTGAGAGAATTAGGAGAGAGATGCAAGTTTGTTCAGTTTCCAACTGTAAGAACATTGAAAATCAATTCACTGTATTCGAATTTCCATCGGATAACGTAATTCTACAAAAATTGAAACAGAATATGACGGGGCCGACATGGAATCTAGGTTCACGCCACAAAATTTACGAGGTATTCAAATTTATTGGTAGGATATCGAACACTACAGTACGGAAAATTTGATGTTGAAGAATAGGATCGTGTTGAGAAAAAGATCCGAACCCACAATTTAACTGAGCGAGTATCGAAAAGAACCTTATTCCAATCTAGAACCAACAAGAAAAGAAAAACTTGCAGATGATGAAATTCATTCAGAACATATTTTATGATATTTTGAAAAAAAAAAATCTTTTCCATTTGAAAAACCGAATGGAAGATTTGAATAACAAATTGAATAATATCATTATTATTATTTATCCTAACTGAAATCAGCTGTTATTGTTGCCATATAATTTGTTCATTTATTAATTACTTATTACCCACCACTCTTGTACAAGTGAAATTGTTCCATACGAAATGTTTCATTGGTTGAAATTCATCAGTTTTTACCCCATTCTGAACTTTCGTGATAAAAAAGTATCCAGCTGAGCGTATACATAGGAATACAACTTGATATCGACCTCCATTGAGGTCCTTGAGCCTTATCATTCAATATTCCCAGGACTTGTGGAGGAAGCGGTATCCTTTATCTAAGCAAAAAACGTATTCTTGCCCTTGTCTGGCAAAACATATGATTTGCTTCAAAATCGTTTGTGGTTATGTTTGATTGTCACTGCATGTCTAGTGTCCCTACTCTAATATACATATGCCTCATTTCTAGCTTTTTTTCGATATTCAGCGGCACTTAATTTTGAAAAAAACACAATATTAGCTTAGCAAATCTAACACAAAGATATCTGCAAATGTATGACAGCGCGAAGTGAAAAACTGCAAAACTGCAATACTTCTGTGTCCTGGTATTCCCCGAATATATGTCTCGAACTAAACATGCCGCTGATACAGCGTAGCGTTGCCAAATGTTTGCAATCAGTGCGATTTAAAAAAAATGTATAGTTATAAGATAAGTATCATAGTATAAAGTACCCACATAAGGAAATATATAATTTGATTTCTGATCCAATTATTTTTTTTTCAAGTATTTTGAATTTATTTCGCCCTCTGGGATTTAGCGCTACAAGCCCTAGCTTTGTAGGCTTGTACTATAATCCGCCCCTGCTGCTAAGACTGATATATCTCATATCTCATAATTTACATCGTTTTCGTGCTCGACTGAGTCGACTGCAATAGTTATTGTATCCGGATGCAAAATTAATCTTAATTACTGTATTATGACTTAAACCGTCTGTTAATTCGCCGATGATGACATAATTGAAATTATCGTGTGTTTATGTAGCAGGTGCCTGTAGACTATAATGACTGGTTTTATTTCTATTATTATTGTTACTTTTAATAACGACGTCTAGAACCACTATCAGCCCAAGACAAATTAATGCCTTTTTATATGGCTCAATCGCTCATCATTTACTTACATCAGGAGATACCCCTTTTTCTTTCGATTGGCAAAAACAACAAAATGTATGTTTGTTATGTGGGTCTTCGTCCGTGGTAAGCTACTTTTATTATTAACTGAATATTCCCCATAGTTTTCAGATTCAATTATACGGCGTGTCTCTTTCATCTCACATATATGGCAGCAATATATTGAAAAATATGGAGAAACCTTAGCCGTGGCACTTGATATCTCCAAAGCATTCGATCGAGTCTGGCACCACGGACTCCTCGCCAAGCTTCCATTTAATGGCTTGCCTCCTCAGCTATGTTCACTGCTAGCTAGTTTTCTCTCAGACAGGTCTCTTTATGTAGTGGTCGACGGAGTTTCATCTGACTCTCTTATCATAAATGCTGGTGTTTCGCAAGGATCAATTCTAGTACCAACACTATTTCTACTCCATATCAACGATTTGTTGGAAGCAACTTCATGTCCAGTACACAGCTTCGCGGATGATAGTACCCTCCATACCGCCTTCTCTTCCAGGGCTCCAATACCAGCCAAACAAATCAGAAACGAACGAGGAAGAAATGTTGACAACATAAATATGGACTTGGCAACATTTCTCGAATGGGGATCCAATAACTTGGTAGATTTCAATGCAAACAAAACACAAGCATGCCTTTTCTCTAGAAAAGCCGATCTCACTGTGCCCAACATAAGCTTGTCAGGAGTAACCGTACCTTTGAAGACATCCATTTCGATGCTTGGTATTACTATCAGCAATAACCTCTCTTGGGAAAATCACGTGAGATCAATTGCTAGAAGTGCATCCCAAAAACTTAGTTTTCTGATTCGGGCCAGGAGCTATGAAGGCACAGATCCGACCTGTCCTGGAATACTGTTCCCATATTTGGAATGCGGAACCCAAACATACTCTGAAACTCGCTTTGAAACTGTTGGATTTTGTCCAAAAAAGGGCAATTCGTCTCGTGGATGATGCCTCGCTCACAAACTCACTCACTTCTCTGGAACACCGTAGAAAAGTTGGCGATCTGGCTCTATTTTATAGATATTGTCATGGACGATGCTCTTCTGAAATATCAACAATTGTTCCTCCCTTGGCAGTCCCGCGAGATTAACTCGTCGAGTTGAGGCTTCGCACACCTTCGTGGTCACTTTGAAGACCTGCAGAACATCTCTGTCCAATGACTCGTTCATCCAACGAACAGCGAGGCTCTGGAACACATTGCCAAGAGAGGTGTTCCCCGAGGCATAAAACCTTCAGAAATTCAAGAAGAACACCAATTCCCAGAACCAGAACATAAAAAAAGCGTTTCCAACCAAACTTGGAATTTAAAATGGCGTCAATTTTTTGCAAAACCATTTTAGACTGACTAGGATTAGGTATTCAGTAATAGAAATTCGTCAAAATATAACGAAAGAATTGAATGTTTTGCATAAATATAAACTAATTTCGTTTTTTTTTTCAGCACAAGTACTTCAAACCATTTCCCATACTCTACATCACCTGTCTTCTAGTGATGCCTCCAAATCTAGTCTACGTTATTTTGACGTTATCCGTTATTTTAATTCTATGTCCTCAAGTGTAAGTATAGATTGAGTACCTGAGTACATACCTATCATAAAATTGTGGTTTCACATTTGAAGAAATATTGCAAACAGTTCAGTTTTGATTGGGTATGTACAGGGTGACCAAAACTCGATGTCTCAGCTCTATTATAAGAGAAGAAGAGATGATAGGGGAAATCTGAAGAAAGGTTTCCCAATGGGATTGTGTAAAGTCCGTTTTGTGCCCAACTCGCTTATTTTTCTGCCAATTCGTAAGCTGAAGTAATGACGTCATCGATCATTTTTTTCTCAGAAAAATACCTATATTTTCGCATATTCGGAAAGAGCTAATTTTACTGAACAAATTTTGTGAAAAAAAAAATTTGCTATATCCTTCCAGTAAAAAATTATAAGCAAATTTGTTTTAAAAAAGTATCATTCAAAAAATGCATTCGTCCCGATTCAAACAAGTAGCCTTTGAAAACAAATGGCAAAGTAGCAACTGTCAACAATTGAACTAATGGTTGTCACATTTCGGTGCCATTTTTTTAAACAAATTTGCTTATAATTTTTTAATAGATATAACAGGATATAGCAAATTTTTTTCTGTACAAAATTTGTTCAGTAAAATCAGACGTTTCCGTATATATATATATATATAACTCGGATTCTTGTTCCGTGCGAAAAGCTACTTCACACCTCAACAGCTTCTCATGATCTACAAAGCGCAGATACGGCCTGTTCTAGAATACTGTTCCCACATATGGGGTTCAGCACCAAAACATACGCTGATGCTCTTAGATTCCATCCAGAGAAGAGCCTGGTGGGTGACGCCACACTCACTCACTCTTTGACATCATTGGAACACCGTAGAAAGGTTGGCGACCTTTCACTTTTCTATCGATACTTCCACGGGAAATGTTCTTCGGAAATCTCTGCAATCATCCCTTCACTAGCAATACCAATCAGACGAACTAGACAAGCCAAGTCAGCACATCCCTTCGTTGTCAACCTCGAAAGATGCCGAACAGCACTTTATCAAGACTCCTTTATCCATAGAACGGCTAGGCTCTGGAATTCATTGCCTGTGGAAGTATTCCCAACAACATATAATCTCCAAAAATTCAAAAAAAATTCCAATACCTACCTCCTGTCCCTATCCTCCCTAGGAACGCACGATGTTCTTTGAACATTATAGGGATTCCCTTTCGTGCGCTCCAATCGATAAAAAAAAAAAAATAGTATGCAAAAATATCGGTATGTTTCTGAGAAAGAAACGATCGGTGACGTCATTATGTCAGCTAACAAATTCAGAAAAATATGCGAATCAGGCACCAAATGGACTTCACACAATCCCATTGGGAAACCTTTTTTCAGATTTCCCCTATCATCTCTACTTCTCTTATAATCGATCTGAGACATCAAGTTTTGCTCACCCTGTACAAATATTCAAACTAATGGATTCGAACAAATTCTTCTTGTATGCTCACTGAATTTGTTCAGCAGTTTATTTCACCAGACCTAACCTTGAAATTACGAGTCTTAATAGACAATGATTATCTTATATTTGCTGATTATTCTATATTCTATGCAGGGACGATTTATGGTGTTATAGAACAATTTTCTCAAGCACTAATTCATCTCTTTATGTGTTTTGTTGTGTTATTTGAAACATAGATGTCAATCCTTCTAGCCGCATGCATTTGCAGAATCGAAAAACTTGCTGAGTTACTCTAAAACAGTAAAAACATGTAAAAATATAGTTTTTTCTGTGACGGGAAAAAAGTTTGGCATTTCATCTCTGTTGGCAGGTTATAAAATGTCACTTTTCATAAATTACTTTTTTCCCGTGGGAAAAAAGTGAGTACTTTTTTCCCGGATATATATCACATATATATACTCTGTTAATGGCTTTTGTTGTGGCTATAGTTCCGAAAAATAAGTCAATAATACCGTCTCCGAGAAAGAACTGCAAGTCCTTTTATCTTCCATTCGACTTCGCGGTTTCGTATATTACTAAACAACTACTGAATTCGCAATTTTTTGAAATCAAATCACAGAATTGAACTGACAGAAGTAACATCAGATATTTGATTACTTCAAAAGAATGATAAAGATGCCTATAAAACGCAGGTGTCCCTACTGTTGAAAACTTGAAATTCCACGTCGATAATTTTCAGATTTCGAAATAATGTACTATCTTCTCAATATTGATCCGTCCTTCCTTCTGTCACAGAAAAAATAGTGTATTATACACGGGAAAAATATTAGATTTTAGCTCACGGTTTTTTGTCTCCCTCCTCTACGCGTCGGGAGACAACACAACCTGGAGCTAAAATCTACTACTTTTTTCCCTTGTATAATAAATAACTATTTTTTATTAGCAATTTTTCATTTTGTTCGTTGTTCCTCAAGCACAAGCAGAACTGCCTTTTTTTTCTTGCACTACCTAATCCATATTTTTGTTGAATATAAAATGTGGTCAACAAATATTATGGACACCATTTATTATACCTATGTATAAGTAGGTATGTACATAATGCACTCTCTTAGTATGTGTGTAGGCACCAATTGGCTATTGACATTACGAGAGGTCCTTCAGTACATGTGTGTTATTTGTAGGCTTGTTACTGACTCCATACGCCACCTAAGGCGCTGCACTGTTAATTGGAATGCAACAGTATGAAAATGTATAACTCGCTTATCAAATGTAAATCATCTGCTCTGTCTGGTTAGTGGTTGGATCCAGAAAACTTTCGATGTCCTATTCTGCCGTCCCATTTATCAATTAATGAATTTGAAATTAATCTTCTATCAAACTTTTTTTTTTCATCATTAAACTGATGTTTCCAAAAATGAGCAGGAAAATTCTTATTGGAAAGTCATAGGATAAAACTGAATCAAAAATAGGCCCTGCTTCATAACTGGTATGTCGAATTGATTTTTGTTTTTGTTTTTTTCAGGAGTGTTGCTGCCGGTACATGGGTGTGTAAAGGTTGTAGAAACAATGCTGAATGTGATAAAAAACCTGAGGATTTCTGCCCATATGGAGAAGTCCGAGACGCTTGCAATAGACGAGTGTGTGCCAAGGTTAGTTGAATAAAAATGTCTTAGTTCTTGAACGAGGACTACTCTGTATCCTGTATACAGGGTGTTTCTTGAAATTCGGGATAAACGATGCTCGTAAAAGGCTTCGTTTGCGAGATGCAGGACGTTACATTTGTAAATATTTATAGAATTTCTTCATGTCCTGTATGGCTTATCGCGGTGGCATAATTTAGTATGTTATGTGACTGACATATAGTGCCGCAATTCCAAAATAATATGATTATAAAGTTATCTGAACCGATGTGGATGGACTATCGGACAGCTACATCAAATTTCGTAGTTGATTTTGGTTATTCCCTTTTTCTCGAAAACAGTGCATCCTCTTTCATATTTTCGAATGAAATTTCGAAAAGTTTCATCGCCACCCATGTTTTTTTTTCCTGAAATATCACACAATACCCCTTAACGGCGGTCCCACTAGGAGTCAGATCGACTGAATATGTAATGCCATATTTTAAAGTATATGATAATGCTACCGATTCAATGACTCTCAGGTACTCATACACCAGAATATCAAGAACTTTTTTTGACCGGTTATCAAGCAATTCAATGAAAATTATTTTTTCTATGGTCAAGGGACCTTTTTCATTTTTTGTGTCCCACATATTATTAAACACCCTGTATATCCAAGAGTTTCACTGATTCGTAGTTGACTGAGTTACTTCCGAAAATAGCCCTTGATCATTGTTATTTGTAAACGATGTATATTTATTATGGACGAGATAAAGAGAAAGAAAAATGTTTTTACAGTGATTTCAACCTTTCATATAGGTACAATCAGCAAAAATGCATTCTATGTTGGAACTGTGAAACTTTTTTCTTCTACTTACCTCCTAATGGGGGAGAACACTGATTTTTTAAAATGACATTATCGTGAACTCTATAAAAATAAATTAGAATATGTCCATTTCAAAACACACAATTCCTGCGCCATTTGAAATGTTGTCAATTCATTGGTGTGACTGGTGCGACGTCTTATTCCCAACACGCGTATTGTCCTTGAACTGACCAATCACGCTGCAACACTGCAGTATGACGATGTATCAGAGAGAGATAGCTACAGTTCGGGACTAATAAGTCACGACTCCATCATCATATTTGGCTGTTTGAATTATCGAATAAAATATGCTGATTTCAAAATGATATAGATTCGATTCCCTTCAACTTTAACTCATAATATTGATTGTACATCAAACGTAAATCATGATTCGTCGATTGAAAGAGGTTTGCACGGATTTCTTCTCTCAGTGGTCTTCCCCATTACTGCCTAGGCAGTAAATGTACACCTTTTATGCCTGTTGAGTAAAAAAAGTTTTTGGATGGCAGTTCAGAAGCCTCGTACAATGGACTATACAGGTGTCCCGAAATTGCATAGAAAGCCAAACAAAGATCAAGTCGGCAGTATATATCCCCTCAGAGGCGTCCTCTATAGACAATCTGAGAGCAACGCCATCTGAGTAGAAAAGAACCATTCCAAAGCTAAAATTCCCATACGGGAGTGGTTGGTTACCCGACTGGTGTAATTTCAACTAGTAAATAGTCACAATGCTCCAAGTGGAATGAATTGTTATATAAATACAAAGAGCTCAGAGTCATTCCCTCACAATGTTCATTAAATGAACAACAATGGTAGATTTCGGGAGAAAAAACAACTACTTCCCTGGCTAATGCCAGACAGGTCATTGAATTACATCCTCCCGAAATCTATGCATCGACTCGTATAAACGAATAGTGATTCGTTCCTGAAGGCCTATTTAGGTTTATTATTCGGGTTCCGATTTCAGAAATCAGAACTGTTCAAGAATCGTTCTCGAACTGCGTAGAACTAGTGCGTAGTCGTTTCGAATCCTAGGACTGTTTCAGAACAAATTACACAAATTATGAAAACCCGAACGCGCAGAAGAAAACCTCTGAGAACATAACCTCGCTATTCAGAATTTTGTGAAAAAAAAAAACAATAGTTTGGAACTTGTATCTTTATTCGAATATCAACCTGAAGTTTCAAACTCTCCTTTGAGTCTATTCACAATATCACTGGAAACCCTCCGTGGAAGAATGATGAATATATTCCAGCATAGCATTCGTAGCTAGATTTTCAATATGTTTTGTCCCTTGTACCTACATGAATTTCGACAACCACCTGGTTTGTTCAATGAATTATGTATCTGAATATAATGGCAAAGTCTCCACCTCGGTCTCCACAACATAATTATCCATTTTTCGGTTTATCAAAGGTTCGAGAATTATCAGATTAGGTAAAATATTTTCAGCAACTTCAGCAAGTAACTCGTTCACCACTGCTTCCTGAAGATGAAGATCTACTACTATCAAATGAATATACTAACTCCATAATATTGAGAAAATATTGAAAAGTGCAATAAACAGTAGAATGAATAGAAATATATCATTATGACGTTACGTTACAACAGACAGAATCGAAAACTAAATAAATTGAGCATGCGCCAAAAATGATCCTAGAACGGTTCATATGCTCTAGAGCAGGTACTGGTTTCGGACGACTCTGAAAAAACCCGAACGCGTAAAGAGTCAGTCCTAGAACAACTGCGCAAACTCCTGACAGTTCTAGAACAGTAATTGTTCGAAACTGAAGGTTTGTTCGTGTTCCAAATTGTTGAAACGATCCATGGACTGCGCAGAATCAGGTGCGCATCAAATTCAATCCGAAACAAGTCTGGGATAGTTTTGAAACCAGATAAACGAAAACAGTGTTTTTCGTTTTCTCATCATCTTTCTCGACAATATGCTGTGTCTTGATTCACGTGAATCGAGGGTATATTTAGGTTAGGGTTATGTTGATCTTTACATGGAAGAATCCCAAAATCTAAGACCTGAACATAAACCTTCCCCACTGAAATATTCATACACTTATACATATTCCAAAAATGATCCCTGAATTCTTATTCAGAGTACAGATTCGATTAAAACCACCATTTTCCAGATGGGTCTTGAGTATTTCCAGCAGATAACATGTTCAAAAACGTTTTTTATTATCTGAACTTGAAGATAGGACGATGAGCTGGATTTTTTCCATTCTTGATCAAAAGTGTATCTCTCAACATAAGAACGTAAAAGTCATGGGCAGTACTTGCCCAGAGGCACAGTAGAGAGCTTACAGAGGCAGTAGGGTCACTTGGCGTCGGGACCTTTGATCTTCGTGGCATACGTTTGATTTTTTTTCCCAGTGCGCATCGACTGCGCGTCGACAGAACTTGTTGTTCTATGGCCGAACGTCAACTGAAGCGTAATATACGAGGCGCAATCTTAGTCCACAATTATACGAGGATGTTTTTTTATTTTATTTCCCACGAGAAAACAATCATGAAAAAATATTGAAAAGTGCGAACAGTTGCTTTTGTATTTTAACGAACATGATTTATAAATTCATTATGAGGTAAATGAAACACCACAGTTCTATGAAAACTTCACTATGACTAAAGAAAAAGAACATATAATGTTATAGATGGATCAAAACAATTTAAACTGAATAAAAGTACAAATTCTACATATTTTTGAGAATAACCAATTTTGGCTTCATTTTGTTAGTTGAAATTGGTTTCAATCCCCTGTTTGCAAATTTTATAGTATAATAATATGTCCTAACACGTATGAACAATGAAAGTAAACATTCTTTTGGAAAATCTTCACATGGGTGTGAGAAGCTTATGGATGAACATTTCTCTTTTAGTCTATGTCCGACCTTTCCACCAATACACTCATCAAAATTTGACACGAATTCAGTTTCTAGAGAAACAAAATAATTCAGAAATTCATCAGGAGGCATTTTCAAGTTACCAAACATGTCTTTATTCTTATTTTCATATGCTTTGAATTGAGAATATATATTAGTTTGATCTAGTGTACTTTTAGAAGATCCATAATCAATGCATATTTCACATGAATGTTTTTTTCCTAGCATTTTCTCATCAGGTACCCAGCCACATATTTAAGACAATTGCCTTCGGCGGTGGTCAAGTCTGAAAAATCATTTGTGTCTACTTTCAAAGGAGAGTACGACTTTTTAGTGTTTAAAAGAATTTCATAATTTTTCAAAGGTACCTACTGTTGAAATTGTGGACAATATTTCATCAAAATCTTCCAAACAGTTTGAACCTTCCGAGCTTTGTAGGTACATGACAATGGTATGACATAGTTGATATAAACAATAATTGCACTCATCACAGATCAAACTAATACTGCACCAATACAATTCCAACAACAATAGAACGAAATTCACAACTGCAATAACTTTATCACTCCTTCAATATTCACTCATTACTAATGCAATTCTATATCGTGTATTCCTTTTATTCAAAATCAGTTACTCACAATATAATCAACAATGGATAAATGGATTACCAGAAACAGGCAATTTGAATCAAATTATGATATGATCATTGGAAATAGGTAACTAGGTATATCCATAACGAAAACCCCAAATGGATTATTGGGTTCTGAAAAACAGGTAAATTCATGTTGAATGCTTATTTCCATATTAATTTTTCAAGTTCAGTATCTTTATTATTATTTGATTATATATGATCAATTTGTGATTACAAACACAGCATATTTATTTGATTAGGAGCGATTAGGACTTCCTTAGGATTCATGCATGAATCAATGTTTCATTTATTAGGATCACGACTCACGATATTTTTGGGACACAATGTAAACATGGTGCTGAGCCTCTCTGTACATTCGTCTGGCTCGACTGAGCTACTGCGCATCGACCGAGAGTTTCAATGCAGAAGTGGGGACGCTTGCCAAATTTCTGTGGAAGTGAACTTACTGCCTCTGTAAGCTCTCTACTGTGCCAGAGGCTTGTACTGCTTTGGACCGATTGGAAACTATCCCAAACTAGTTCGTATAAAACGAGAACACGTGATCTGTGGAATACGAAACAGTCCTGAGAAAACGCGAACAATTTTTGCCACTGCGCATGCTTCTGATGGTTTCGGACTATTAATTTTGTGAACGCGAACAAACCTTTAATAAACCTATTGATTTCGATTTATTCATTGTTTGTTTTTTGTTTCAGGGTCCAGGTGAGAGGTGCGGAGGGTTCATGAACGTTCTGGGCCAGTGCGGGGAGAGTATGATGTGCAAGTCTGACGAAAGATGTCACGGCTGCTTCCTCGAGACCATGGAGTGCTACAACGAAATCTGATGGACTTAAATGTGATCTCAATGTTTCATGAATCAGTATTAGCCGACGGTTCCGACCATCTCCCATTGACGAATCAAAGATTTTTAAATTAGTTTGTTCTGTGACTAGGATATATTGCCGAATGTATCTGTATTTATATGTAAATTATTTAGGATCTCCTATTACGAATGATGCGACTAATATACGAAGTTCGACTCTTTGTACATTTGAAACAGTTGTGCGTCTCATTTTCCTTATCCCAAAAGCCTGAATATTTCGTTCAGGAACACCAAAATCAGTAGGAGCGGTTCCATGAATAGTGGTTATTGAAAAATAGCTTTTTTTCTGTGGCGGGAAAAAAGTTTGGCATTTCATCTCTGTTGGCAGGTTATAAAATGTCACTTTTCATAAACTACTTTTTTCCCGTGAAAAAAAAGGGAGTACTTTTTTCCCGGATATACATATACTATATCACACATATGTATATACACTGTTGATGGCTCCGTTGTGCTATAGTTCCGAAAAATGAGTCAATAATACCGTCTCCGAGAAAGAACTGCAAGTTCTTTTATCTTCTATTCGACTTCGCGGTTACGTATCAGTGCCGGATTTAGGGGGGGGCTATGGGACTATCAGCCCCCGGCGGTGAATTTCAAGGGGCGGTATAGAGAAATAGAGAAAAGAGAAAAAGCAAGCAGTAATACAGTCGTCGCCGACGAGGCGACAAATATATTATATTGCTTCTTGCTTTTTATATGCCGCCTCTTTAGTCGCCTTTTGAAGCAAACACGCAATTAGCTACCGCTGGCAGGCGGCACCTCATCGGAAGGACTTGTTTGAGATACTGTTTTTGTGAAAATCATAACACGCACTAATCTAGCGTCAGCTGTGTCTTGGACGCTACAATACAAAAGCTCAATAACAAAAAAAAATCAGAGTTCAGTATTCAATAGGTTGTCGTTGGTATTGTTGGTAATGGTACTAATAATAAATAAATTTCGAAACTGAAATTTGAAAAAATGAGTGAAAATGAAGGTGGTGGTGGAAACGGCAGAAGATCAATAAAGAAAAGCAGTTAGAAGAAGTTGTCAAGAAAAGCCCTAAAATAAATTCATTTTTTTTATATATATATATATATATATAAAATATAATTTGATTCGTCGTACATAATGATTTCATGTTATTGTTATATGCTGTAAAAAAACAGTGAAAGGATTATTTGAATTTTGAAACTGACAATTGAAATTTAATATTTGGCGGCGGCGTGGCGGCATCGTAAAAGTTAGCACCCGGCGTAAGGGAGTATAAATCCGCCACTGTTACGTATACTAAACAACCACTAAATTCGCAATTTTTTTTAATCAAATCATAGAATATTAGACTGACGGAAGTGACATCAGGTATTTGATTACTTCAAAAGAATGATAACGATGCCTACAACGCAGGTGTCCTTACTGTTGAAAACTTAAAATTTGATGTCATAATTTTCGGATTTCAAAATAATGTAATATCTTCTCAATATTGATTCGTCCGTTCTTTTGTCATAGAAAAAAATAGTGTATTATACACGGGAAAAATATGAGATTTTAGCTCACGGTTTTTTGTCTCAATCATTGTAATTAGGATCATTTTTTGTCTTAACAACAGGAACACAAGTTCATGAAATTGACACATCAATTGAATCTTCTTCTTCTTTGTGGATCGTTCCTTCGGTTCGGCTTGACTGGATGGCTTTCTCGGACTTTGTTTTAAGTATCAAACACTGTGCTTCTCGGATCTGCAACTGCACATCACATATTATCAAATATCGAATTATATGAATAAAAAATTATCAATATTAGATGCTGTACATACATGGATGTTGAATTAGAAACACCTCTGAATATTTTTGCAACGTTCGTAGTTGGATTGCAACATATGAGTTTTGTTATAGATAGATAGATCTTTATTGAAATAGGATATCCTAGTATACAAACAAGCTAAAAAGTATAAAGTAAAATAGGTATGTGGTACATATTAAAATGATTTAAAATATATGACAAACATTGGATGAATACATTATAAAGTTAGTTGAACACAAGCATAATAATATCTCAAAACAAAAATTGTAGCTTCACGTAACAAACATAATAAATATCATATATGTACATTAGACAGACATTTCTTCAGTTCGTTTTTGAAAATGTTCAGAGATGGGCTATTTTTAATTGCATTTGGTAATCTGTTGAATTGATCAAAACCCTTGAAAAATAAAGAGATCATAGTGCTTTTGTGATTTGTTCTATTTATATATAAATTATTATTATTTCGAGTGAAGTAGTGGTGAATATCATGATGGAAGACAATGTACTGTTTGAAATAAGATGGTCCTAAATTGTTTAATATTTTATATATGAATATCATTGTGAAATAAAACAGTCTTTGAGAAACAGATTGCCAATTCAAAACATTAAGCATAATAGTAATTGGAGTATCTCTACCGCACTTCAAAATGATCCTCATACTACGATTCTGAAGTTTTTGGAGTTGAGACAATTTATTCTGATTGAATAGATATAGGATAGATGAACAGTAGTCAAAGTGTGGCTGAACAATTGAATTGTAAACTGTGATTCTTGACTCTGTTGAAAGATTATTGGAAATTCTGGAGAAACAAAATAATTTCTTTGAAATTTTCTTATGAATATACTCAAAATGTTCATCAAACGATAAAGTGTTATCTACCTGAAATCCCAGATATTTAGTTGTTTTAACTACTTCAATTCTTTCATCATCAATGTTTAGGTTGATATTTTTTGAGTTTATTTGGCTGTATTTATATTTGGTGGTGATTATCATCGCTTTTGTTTTCAATACATTCAACTTGAGTTTATTCATTTTCAAGTACTTGTTGACACTTGCTAAAGTAGTATTCATTTTGTGTATAGCCATTTCCAGGTTCTCATCGCTGCATGCCAATAGTGTATCATCCGCAAAAAAGTTCATGAATTCACATGCAACAAACAATGGCATGTCATTTAAATATAGTATGAATAGAAGGGGACCCAGAACACTACCCTGGGGAACTCCAACATCATTTTCTATTTCACAAGAGAATAGAAGTGTCCTGAGTAGGCTTCATCCACATTTCCACTTAATGTGATTTTTAATAAAGACCTGAAATCCCAAACACTGTGCTGCTCGGACCTAAATCTAAGTATTGATTTGAAATTTGTATCGTGGGACATGGAATGAAGAGTCTAGATATTGTTTTCAACATTCGTAACTGAAATGCGATATATTTTCGTAATTTATTAATGAATCAACTATCTCAATGAATACGAGACAGGCAGATAAGCAACAATTTTCTCTGCGATGAAAAACACTGTATATACCTAACCCATCTAGCGTCTACCTCCTTTGCAGAGAGGGTTTATGAACGCAAAGTTGGTACTCTCCCCTCGTAAGGGTACCTGTCGTGTTTCATAGAGACATAAAGGTGAATATCTGTCTATCTGTTCGCTTGAGAATCTGGAAAAGAAATCAATATATCGCCTTCCGTACGAACATGGTTATCTGAATTTAGAGAAGTATACTCTGGTCATTTTTCTTTGTGGATCGTTCTTTCGATTCGGCTTGACTGGATGGCTTTCTCGGACTTTGTTTCAAGTATCAAACACTGTGCTTCTCGGATCTGCAACTGCACATCACATATCAAATATCGAATCATATGAATCAAAAATGATCATTATTAGATGCTGTATGTACATACATGGATGTTGAATTAGAAACTCCCCTGAATATTTTTTCAACGTTCGTAGTTGGATTGCAACATATGAGTTTTGTTGTCGAATAGAAGTTTCCTGAATAGGCTTTATCCACATTTCCACTTGATGTGATTTTTAATAAAGACCTGAAATCCCAAACACTGTGCTACTCGGACCTAAAACTAAGTATTGATTTGAAATTTGTATCGTGAGACGAACATAGATAGATATTGTTTTCAACATTCGTAATTGGAATGCGATATATTTTCGTAATTTATTAATGAATAACCTATCTCAATGAATACGAGACAGGCAGATAAGCAACAATTTTCTCTGCGATGAAAAACACTGTATATACCTAACCCATCTAGCGTCTACCTCCTTTGCAGAGAGGGTTTATGAACGCAAAGTTGGTACTCTCCCCTCGTAAGGGTACCTGTCGTGTTTTCATAGAGACATAAAGGTGAATATCTGTCTATATGTTTGCTTGAGAATCTGGAAAAGAAATCAATATATCGCCTTCCGTACGAACATGCTTATCTGAATTTAGAGAAGTATACTCTGGTCATTTTTCTTTGTGGATCGTTCCTTCGATTCGGCTTGACTGGATGGCTTTCTCGGACTTTGTTTCAAGTATCAAACACTGTGCTTCTCGGATCTGCAACTGCACATCACATATCAAATATCGAATCATATGAATCAAAAATGATCACTATTAGATGCTGTACATACATGGATGTTGAATTAGAAACTCCCCTGAATATTTGTTCAACGTTCGTAGTTGGATTGCAATATATGAGTTTTGTTGTCGAATAGAAGTTTCCTGAGTAGGCTCCATCCATATTTCCACTTAATGTGATTTTTAATAAAGACCTGAAATCCCAAACACTGTGCTACTCGGACCTAAAACTAAGTATTGATTTGAAATTTGTATCGTGAGACGAACATGGAATGAAGAGTCTAGATATTGTTTTCAACATTCGTAACTGGAATGCGATATATTTTCGTAATTTATTAATGAATCAACTATCTCAATGAATACGAGACAGGCAGATAAGCAACAATTTTCTCTGCGATGAAAAACACTGTATATACCTAACCCATCTAGAGTCTACCTCCTTTGCAGAGAGGGTTTATGAACGCAAAGTTGGTACTCTCCCCTCGTAAGGGTACCTGTCGTGTTTTCATAGAGACATAAAGGTGAATATCTGTCTATATGTTTGCTTGAAAATCTGGAAAAGAAATCAATATATCGCCTTCCGTACGAACATGGTGATCTGAATTTAGAGAAGTATACTCTGGTCATTTTCGTTCCTTTGGTTTGACATGACTGGATGGTTTTCTTGGATTTTGTGTCAAGTATCAAACACTGTGCTTCTCGGATCTGCACTTAACATCACATATCAAATATCGAATCATATGAATCTAAAATGATTATTATTGGATGCGGTTCATGGATGTTGATATAGAAACTTACCTGAATATTTCTTGCCAATCTATGAAAATCGTATCCAACTCTTGAAAAAGAAGAAATTACAATCAGATGAAATGTTCGACCAAACGGAGATAACACTTTGTATAATATTTTATATGGTTAAATATATTCGAAATGTTCTTACCTATATCAGTCCCTTTCAGATATACGTCGGTGAACCGAACACCCTGTATAGTATACGAAATACCAGATGAAGAATTGAACACGGAGAGTGGTGGATTTTTTTCAGAAAATCTCCCAGGATATTATGAAAGAGTTCACCACAGGCTGAAAATATATATTTTACAAAAATCTCTCGTGATATGAAATAATTCAACCGGACAGTATGTAGTGGAGAAAGCGAACGCTTCTCACATACAAGTCGAGAAACAATTCACCATAGTGACATACAGGCAAACAATTTTTGTTTTAAAAAATGTCACATTTGAGAATATACAGGTTGGGCAGTGGAAACGAAACAGCAGATCTTCAGGTCGACAGAACCGGATTATATAAAAACGCTGAAACACATCAGCAATATTCTCGAGGAGGCCATCGTTCTAAAATATTTTCAGCAACAACTGACACTGGTTAACTATTTACTGACATTTAATTGGAACAGATACAGGGTGATCAGAATTCTGAATCTTGAAATCGTTCGAAATAACCCAATCAAACCCGGTATCGTAAAATTCGTTATGATAATCCCCATCCGATTATGGAAAAAATACAGGGTGTCCCATATGGAAATCAAAAATTAATGTCATTTCCAGGAAAACCGGATGATGAAAAAAAACCTAAAATGTGATAAAGGGCTCTCTAGTGAGCATATTCGATGCTTTAAATTTCAGGAATATAGCTAGAAAAGCAAAGGAGAAAAGGGTGGTATGATAAAATGATGAAGAAAAAAACACTCACTAGCGTGAAAACAAAATGAATTTGTATAAAAGAGTCCACTTCTGCTATTTCATTGTTTCAAAGTTTCCACAGCATTAAACACCAAAATAACACACCCGTGTTTTATTGAATACGCTTTTTGGAATGATAATCAATTCCTTTAGCGTATATCCCAATGCCTATGAGAAAATTCAACCGTACGCGACATATTATCACAAATGTCGGAATACAACAATATCAAAATAAGATAACTTTATTCATTAGACAGATAGTTTATTGGTAGCAGAAATCAAAAGACTATTCGAATATCACAATATTTAATATAGCATGACATACCTATTATGTGTAATGAGGAGATATAAATGAACAAAAATGAATATGAAGACCTAATAATAATGTTTTGTTGATTACCATTACGACGAGTTGAGAGTAGCACCAGACCTGATAACTTGGAACCCTCACATCCAGTTTATCATAGCTCTGCACGTTTCTCATGAGATTTTCTTGATCATTATTCAATAGTTCGAATGTGATTCGAGCATTACATGATAAACCATTTTTTACTCGTGACACTACTGACACTATTGAAAGTATTGACATGTATTGACGTATCGCAGATGCACCAACATGATTTTCAACCAGTCAGATGTGAAGTTCACAAAAACTGAATTTTTCTTCTGAATAACTTTCATCAGAAAACTGAGTAGACGCCTACAATCGAATTGCACCAAAATAAAGCTATTTGAGTAATCAAACGTCCAAAATATTGCTTCCACAGTGGTAGAGATTGTTAGGTTGGCAACTTGGAGCGAAGTCCCCCATTGGGAATTGACATCATCTCTCAAAACGGATAAAATTATGATATAAAAATATAACTTACCAATATGTTTAGTATTGAGATGAGAATTGAAATGTATATGAGAAGTATACTTGTTTAAACTCTGATCTTGATGAGCTTGGAACTTCCAAAAAAATCATTCATATCAATGATATGGGAATTATATCTCTCACAAACAGGTTATATGACACTCGAGTAAAACTCATTTCGGATATCAAATCCTCATCAGTATCCTGAAGTCCAGTTATTCTTTCAGCCATCCTTCATGATATACACAAATTTTCATCTCCCCATAATATAACTAAAACGATAATGAACTGACATCAGTGTAGAATTATTATCATTATTATTTCATATTCAAATCCGACACTCTCCTTGTTTCTATAAAATAAAAAAATATTAGTATCATTTCAATATACGTGTAGTGATGAGGACAAATCAACTGATTTGCCCCGGAATGTCACTGCGTTTGAAAATTTTCCTATCAGAGAAAATTCATTCGATTGTCATTGACACTTTGTTTTGAAATAGGTTTGGAGAAGAGAATATAACACATACCTTCCTATATTGATAACGATCTCTGTGACACTGTTGAAATGGAAAAACTCAAACTATGCCCTGATCACACGGAAAAATAAAAAAATAACAGTCTTTCACCGAACACCACGGACATATGTTTTGATTTCTGCCGTTCCTTGTTTCCCCAATGATCGCTCATAGGGTTAAACCCCTCTTAACAAGAAAGATTTTTCGTTGAATTGTCTTCCATGAATGGCATTCTTCACCAACACTACTGGCTCAAGTTTCACACCCAGATGCTGTGAAAATCGAAACACCTATAGAAGGTGTGTTTTGATAATTCTCCTGGAATTCTGCACTTCTGAATAAAGAACAAACAACCCACGTAACTTCTAATTTGAGTATGTAATTTTCATTACGACAGATTATCCTGAAAAAAAAATGTCGATTAAAAATTGCAGTGTTTGGCATATGCGACATCCTGCAAACAATTCTGATTTATGAATAATTAATGAATAGACATAATAATTGAGACTATTTTAAGAGACTCCTGTTTTATAGAGGGTGCTTTGACAAGACATGGGTGGGTATAGAATTTGAATTCTAAAGACTACAAAGCTACCTATAGAAAGAAGCCAAGTTGAAAATGTCACCGGCCCTATTATCTTCACTCCACTGTAAGATGGATCGCCTCAGATGGATATACATATTATTTGCCCAGTTGTTACACATAGAGTATGTAATTGGCAACATCGAAACACAACCGGTATTTTCCGTAATTGGCTCTGTTGCCAAATGCTATCCTTTCTCAATCATCCAATAATAATATGTAAAATATAAAATTTCACTTTTCGTCGGACGTAGGTAAGGGTTATAATACAAAAACAAAGAGACAGACAACATCATTTTTCATTCTGATGTTGAAAACTGGAGCTCAGGTATAGGGATTTACCCAAATATCTTTTTATATTTTTTTTTCATGCTTATTAGTTGTATCACATTTTCAAATTTCACTGTTTAAGTATGGAACAGGAAATGTATTAAATTCTGTCTGGAGGTTATTCCAGATTTTTTTTTGGGATTTTCTCTCGTTCATAAAATAAAAATATGAATACTATTTCAATATACGTGTATCATCTGATTTGTCGTCACTATACGAATATTGAAATGTTCATATTTTCATTTTATAGAGATGAGGAGAGGAAATCCCAGAAAAAATCTGGAATAAGGAAAAGTATTTATGAAATTGACAAAAATTTCTTTGAAGACGTCACATTATTTCGTATAGGAATTATATTCGGCATTGTCTTTGTTGAGGGGGTTGCCCCTTTGTGTGCGCCTCTGGGCATAAAACTGAAATGTCATTTTTTATGAGAGTAAAAAGGCATCCCGACTCTCGAGGGTGTTGTGGATAATATAAAAATGAATTTCTGGACTTGGATTTTCTCATCAGTTCAGCTGCATCAACAAGTGCAATCATCAAAATACAGCAGATTATAAAGGTAAATAATAAATTTATATATACAGTGTGATTGTTCGTGTGAATAGTTCACAGAAAGTAACACATCTTTCTCTGTTTTGATTATTTTTCAGTGTCAGGTGATTAAATTCGATAGTTTTCCAGGAAGAACCGTCATAGTGATGAGACCAAATCTAGCAATCATAATCTTAGCTCTATCAATTGATCTGATTTTATTTCCTAACAAGTTAGTACACGAAAATGCTTTTTTTATGTATAGTGTGGTGTTATAATAAGTACCTATACTTCAGTCAATGAACGATCAATAACCTGTATGTATGTATGTGTGCATAGTTCTGGTGGCGATGCGTCATGACATTTTTTAAAAACAAAGAAACAAAATGGCGGATCCAAAATGGTGGACGACTTTTATGTACGTTTCTATTCGAAATTGGTATCTGGGGGTCTTCGAGGTCGTAGATTATGATTCTTTTACGTCAAACTTGGAAATTCAAGATGGCAGATCCAATATAGCGGACGAATTTTGCAATTATGATCCGAATCTATTCAAAATTTGTATCTGTGGGTTTTCGGGATCAGAGATTATGATTCTTTCGTCAAAATTCGAAAATTCAATATGGCGGCTCCAATATGGTGGAAGAATTTTGTAATTATATGATTCGATTCTATTCAAAATTGGTGTGTTGGGGTTTTCGAGGTCGGAGATTATGATGCTTTTGTCAAAATTGGGTACCTACAAAATATATAAAAACACATAAAACACGCTTTTGTAGAAAAATTCAAGAAACACCCTTTATCAAATAGCCAAACTAAATAGAAGTAGAACATAAAATAATAAAAGTGTGTTGATAACTACACAACACAGAATCACCAGAATGTACTGATTACAGAGATGCTAATATTTTTTATATTGTGTATTTATCAGCACACTTTTATTATTTTATTTTCTACTTTTTTTCAGTTTGGTTGGCTATCTATCTCTCTTGGTTAATGAGAAATTTGCTAGCGAATCATGTAAATTAAATTTTTCAGAACTGAAAATTTTCAGGAAAAATATGAATATGACTCAGTCATAGTGTGTATTTTCGGTATATATCCTGCTCCTGCAAATCTCATAATCCTAACTCAACAAATACGAGAGTTACAGGGGTGCTTCTATTAGAAGTGAGACACTAAATATCTATATATACAGGGTGTTTCAGAGTTGTCTCAACAAGATATGTAAAAAAGTTCATGTGAACACGGGTCCGAAAATGCTTATCGTTTCAGAGATAAGTTTAGAGTCAAGTTCAAAGAAAAGAGTATTTATGAGATTTTTATGGTTAAATTACACAATTATCAGTCATTTACTGGACCAAAGTCACCCTGTGTTTTTTTCGGGTTCGTCTTGAATATTCAGATCTCTGAAATGTATACGATCTTCCGATTTTCTGAGAAATATTTGTCAATGTGACACTCATTATTTTTAACTTCTATATCTCGGGAACGAAGCATTTTTGGACCCATGTTCATATGAACTGTTTTCCATCATATTCAGTTGAGAGGAATCTCCGCTTCTGTCATCACAACTCTCAAACATCCTGTATATATAAAAAAATTGATGTGACCATAGTAGAAGGATGGATGTGACATAACATTTTGAAGATAATTGAAGCATAGATGTATAGAAAGTCAAATGGTGTTATCACTTCCTATTGAAAGGAGTTTCGAAATCTCTGGATATTGCCTACTTTGTAAAAATAGCGAGGCTTGTTAGAATCTTGCTAAATTTCCGAATTTTCAAACAAAATTTACAGGCATCATGACACATTCATTTGAGTTCACATTTTCATTTTCACCAATTTTGTGTTCAAATGGAAACGGTGCGACATAATTTCGACTTTCAATGGTGAATTCATGAACGACACAAAGTCCTAACTCAAGAAAATCCCGTGATAATAGTTTATTTACTCACTTTTGGTACATAAAATAAAAGGAATATTCGGATTTTCAAATATTCCTCACACATTGCAGCAGTCAGTCCTCGATGAAAGCACTATAATACACTCACTCAACTAATAATATATCAATATACCTGCTTAATAAACTACTCAATTTATAATATTTCTATCTGAAATTTGAACAAAATCTTGAATATGTCGAAAAGATGACAACAAGCCATCTAATCATCGAATATGAGAACATCACGTTCCGATCTCTCATTCAATTGTTCATATCGAGAGCTAGTCTGACGAAACAATTGAACAGTGGGCACACCAGAATTGAATCCTTTACGACTTTCTACGTTGATGACTTTGGTGAAAAACTGAAGGTTGATGAACTGTCAAAATACGTTAGCCTAAAAAAAACAATTTTCAACAATGTATACATGATTCCCTAGCGAATATCTCGACAACATTGAAAGATGGGAGGAAAACCTACTACAATTTTGTAGACAATTTTATTTATTTTTTAATCGATTAACATTTCCGCTGTTAAGTACATTTTTAGAGATATAAACGATGAAGCGAATAAGGGACTTTCTACGTCGCCCCAAGGCGAAGACTTTTCCCAGCGAGCACAAAAACATCTCAGAGATGTTAAAAGTACGAGATTTCGAGACATTGAACCTCCACTGCGATGTTCTGTTCACACATGAATAGAACTATTATAGAACAGCCAATGTCCGCCGCAGGCGGCAATTATCGAGATGTCCTTGATATGTCACAAAACTACCTTCTCCCTAGTTCTTTTTAAAGCCTTTTCATCAACAAAACATTTTCAACGCGTCTTGCGCACATTCAATCGCTGTAAAAAAACCATTTTCGAGGTACTTTTCTGAAGCCTTTTGTCAAAATGAACGTTTGCATTAGGATTCCATTTCCCTTGAATGAAAAAATGCATTAAAAATAGATTGAACATAAAAATATTTTCTTGATATGAAATTACCTTCTTAATCGGTTTCTGAGTAGTGCTTACTACACACAGACATATAATTGGAAATAGGTTTCCCAATTTTTGAAATGTTCTCCACAATGCATAATTTTGCAACTGCGGAGAAGCTGTGTATTGATAAATTCGTACTTTTATAAATTGATTACACTGAGGCACCGAACAACACATCTTGCATCTGATAGTCATTATTACAAACTAAATAAGTCTTCTAACACAATAAACTTCACCAAATTCCTTTCTGTTCGTTAGCAGCGTGATGTAAGCGTGACACGCTGCAAACGCGAATGCCAATTGCGAACAAGAAGAACAAAATCGAAAACAAATCAGAATTCATCGTATTGTGATGTAAGCATGAGACGTTGTGGTGGGGCAAACAAAGAAAGGGCACAAAAGAACAAAAACAATACTTTCAATATCCTTCTAAGACCTCTTTGGGAAGTGCATATTACGCCTCAAAAAAACATCCTCATGCCTTCATTTCTAAAACATCCCAAAACATCCCAGGGATACCTCTCAGTAGGCAAACAAAGAAATGCAACAGAAGAACAAAAACAATACTTCAATATCCTTCAAAGACCTCTTTGGTCAGTGCATATTAGGTCTCAAAATAACATCTTCATGCCAACATTTTGAAAACATCCCAAAACATCCCAGGGATGTTTGTGCTCGCTGGGTTGGAATATTTACTTCCTATCTACACCGAATATATCCCTAGTCTCAAAAAAACTATCTCCTCATGTCCTCGTTCATTGACTGAACTACTATGTCGTGTGAAAATTGTGATCGTCAGATATTTTTTTATAAAATTTTATGAATTTGTTTTGCAGTTGTGTTGCTAAATTCATATGCAGACCTTGTAAAAATGAAATGGAATGTAATATGCCCCCACCAGTAATGTGCGAATATGGAGAAGTAAGGAATGCTTGCAAAAGAAGAGAATGTGCTAAGGTAAGTTGTGTGAAAATTTTTCGACAGTTTTAACAGCCATTCAAAATTGGCTGGTTTTTATCAAGTGGCCCAATCAACAAATCATGTCAATATTTGACTGATTACAACATTCAGGAAAGTTTTCAATCACTATGACGCCATTTTGGCAACATTTTTAGACTTTTCACTTCGACAGGGACCTCTTGTTCTAGTAACACCTGAAAATGTTAGTCGGCATTGTCTGTAGACATCATATCACCATTTCTGGACCCATGTTTAAACAAACTTTTCTCATTATTTTCGTTTCTAGAAACTGTTGGTTGAGATTTTTCAATATAATTTCGGCACACCCTGTATGATATAATTTTTGTAGGGTCCTGGGGATAGATGTGGAGGTCCAATGAACATTTTGGGACAATGCGCAGAAAATCTTATGTGCCGTTCTGATGAACTTTGCCATGGTTGGTTTATGGATACCTTAGAAAACTATGAATGATCCAGAAGGAACGGACGATGACGATACTACAAAAATATGTGATATTTAGATGAAAAATATATATATATATTAAGTAGGTGCCTGCTTTTCTTATTTCTTATTTTTCATAAAGAAGTCTCACTAATGCATTACCAATTGGTCTTTTATCAATCTGTGGAACAAAATAGCAAAAGACAATAGACAAATTATACGTAGAGAAATCTTTGAGGTTGCTGGAAATGGTTAAAAAAAGGGTCATCCCAGACAAAATCACTGCAAATCTCAGAACATTGATGAAACGTTGCAGACATGTCACATAGATGTATAGAAACTCAATGGAAGGAGTTTCGAAATCTGTCGATATCGCCTACTTTGTAGAAATAGCGAGGCGTGGGAGAATCTTGCTAAGTTGTCGAAGTTTCAAACCATATTTACAGGCATCATGACACATTTATTTGTACGAAAGCGTAGGAAGGCCACTGTTGTGTGTATTTTATTTTTTCTCCGATTGGCAGCAAATATTAATTTTGCTGACACATATCAATCAGCAAAGTACCTATTACTTTTCCTGCATAGGCAGCAAAGTGGGTACTTTGCTGCCTAGGCAGCAAAATGGTTACTTTGCTGATTGATATGTGTCAGCAAAATTAATAATCCATGAATCGTTTATAATTTCCTTCATATTTCATCCTAGACTTCTCCGGCAACAAATTCAACTCTATATTTTCTGCCACCTCCCTTATTTCTGGAGGAGTAAGTACTTCCAGGTCGCTATCACTGTCCATTATATAATGATTTAAATATACCGATGTTTTTTCGCACAACTGTCAGAAATTTCATGAATTGTCAAACTATAATTATGGACATTTCCATAGCAACCAACCATTCCAACAACTGCGATTTCTATCAAATTTTATTTCAATTTAACACTACAGGAAAAATAAAGAGATATATCATTATGAACAATCGGAGAAAAAATTATATATTCAACTTGGCAGCAAAGTAGATTGACTGCCTCAGCTGGATTCCTAGACTCGCTACGCTCGGATATGAATTCAGCCTCGGCAGTCAATCTACTACTTTGCTGCCTAGTTAAACAAATAACTATTATTTCTTTATTCAGACTTTTTTTTCTGAATTCAGACTTCTTTCTCTGAATTTGGACATTTTTCTCTGAATTCAGACTTATCGCCATTATCATTTTGAGATGGAATAGACGATGTTCTGTCGAAATGTCAGCAGTTGTCATTCCTAGGAATGACTTTTGACTCGACCCAAGACCAACTCGAGTATCAGTCATGTTTGATGAGCATTATTGAACATTTCGTTACAGTTTGAGATATTCACAAATTGTCATATTATATTCTGTGGATATCTGTTTTATTTCTATAACATCATTAAAAAGTACAAATTGAATAACATCAAAAATAAGTTAGATCGGTACAGTAACCAACTAGTACCAAGATACGCCTAGTCTAAATCTAGATCACATGTTTAGTGTTTCACTTGTAACAAGATTGATGCTACACATGCTTTTGTTTCAAGTCTCATGATTATGTACTTATATTATTATGTAAACACTCTTCTGGCAAGTGATACACATTATATAACTTTGTGGTTAAACTATTGGTCTATACATATCAGTGCATGATTTTCTTCGTTTTTTATCGAACAAAAGCTTTAAAACTAAGACTAAAAGTATGGGTATATAATTTCCACTAATACACATTCTATCAAGCAAATGGATATGTGACAGCTCCAGCCACATCAATTAATTAATTCAAAAAAACTGTTATTCCAATTCCTCCATAAAAAAATACTTTGGTGCACTGTCCAATCGAAATTATAGATTAATTCAATGGTTCATATAATTTTAGTGACCCATCCTTAAAAATATGGATAATATCAAGATGAGAAGATCTGAGTTGAAATTTTGCTCTTCTTAGCGATGAAACCATTTTTTAGCTATAAAGAAAGATACCATTGTGGAATAACTCAATGAACAAAGTCTCGAACTTTGGACACAATGGACAGTACGGCGATTTTGTGACTATTTAAACAGGCATTTTCATTTCAATGGATATTGGTCCAATTCAAAATTTACCAAGGGTATTCGGAGTTGCAATTCTGTGTTTGTTAAAGAACTAGTCTGTAGATAGACGATTATTTCTAGATGTAAAAAACGATACCTAGTAATTTTTCAACTATAAATGAAAAGGCCTATTTGGCTTATGAAAATGGCTGCTATTTAACTGATTTACAGGTTATTGGTTGATTTGCTTTTTTTGCCTTCTTCGCACCAAAAATCCTCGGACTCCCGCTTGGATTTTCACTGCTGACTTTTCTTCGATTTCCTTCGGCTTGGACGAAGATTTTCCGGATTCCTTTTGGGAACTCTTAGGCCTCATCTGCCTTCTAGAGTTTGACATGTCAGAAGAACCATTCTGCGAAAATAAAACAAGTGAATTAATCATTTAATACTGTCTGTAGGTTAATCTAGGATTATTATTCCAGATGTTTTTGGGAGGGGAGCAGATTCGTTCCCGAAACTTCCAAAGCTGAGTAAAAATTTAATATTTTTTCTATATATACCTTTATTTCTCTTCTCCAAACTTCTATCAATACAAATTGTCACTGACAAGCCTTTTAGGCTATCTGATAGGAAAATTCGTTAAACGCAGTGACATTTTGGGGCAAATCATCTGATTTGACCTTACGTATATTGAAATAATATTCATATTTTTATTTTATAGAAACGAGGAGAGAAAATCCCAAAAAATCTGGAATAATGAATTATTCATTGTTTGATAAAAATAAGAATCTTCCAAGAATTGAATCGATTCGAGAACGGTTGAAAATTACTATAGGGACATATTGAACGTGATTTCCTCAACATAATACGTATATTTCAAGAATATAATAGAATACAGGGTGTTCCATTTAAAATAAGGAAGTTTGTGTTCGCTTTATATTAGCTTAGATGGTGTTACGAATTTTCAGAATCGAAAACTTTTATCAGGAACGGCTTACGTGATAAACCCTGAATAATAAGAATTCTATGAAAAAAAATCAATATGTGAGTCCTCCCGCATTAATATTTCAAGAATCTCTTGTTGGAAAAATGTTTTTGCATGTTATCAATTGAATGATAAAGGATATTTAGTTATTTCTATTGTTTTTGAACTCATTTTCCTATACTTACTTGAACCGTTGATTGATATATTAAGCTTACGCCCAGCTTAAGCGTAATATATCAATCAACGCTTGAACTTTATCAGGATTATTTGATAAGTTCAATAACTTAATGATAATGGTCGATGAAAATATTGATTTTTCTCTTGGAATATTACGCGAATAACAAATGAATTAAAATAAATTCAATATATATAGGATGGTCCAAATATGTTGAAAATTCACTAATGCATATTTTTTTAACTTTCTGATGGCTCAGTGATGTTAATGTTACGTGATGATGATTTTTACGCTCGTTCAAAGTCCGACTTTGAATTATAAAGTGAAAAGTTGTCAGTTCAGATGGACATCGTTTACAATTCGGAAGAGTGCACATTTGCAGCTAACATTTCAATGAATGTGTCGAATAATTGAGATCAGGGTCAAGCTGATTGAATTTTATTCAATTATTTTCACACAGTGAGCTATTTCGACTTCATTGATATTGAGATAACGTGTTTGGAAAACAGCAACTCTAGCTGACTGAAAAGATTTCATGATATTTTATTGATTTTGTCAACAAAATCATACACACATGAAGAAGATTTTTCGTTCCAAGAATTTTTTTTTTCAATAAGAATTACTCTGAATGAGGATAATATTGTGTCATTCTGGATAGACATTCTTGGAAAGTGCGTTTTGCTCTTCACAAATCAATATTTTCATTTCTACGACTTCATTGCTTCATTCAAGAATACATATTTCAATCTAAGAATTTCAAAATTCTCTTGTGAAAAAAATATTGATTCTCGAATCAAAAATCACTATCATCTTGATTCAATAATTATCGTCTACTAATTTTTTTCATTCGCATTCTCCATTATTTTGTTGTGAACAATAATAATCATCTACTGATTTCTTCATTCGAGTTTTCCATTATATTGAATCCATTTGTTGTGAAAAGAACTTGAGATATATTTATGAACACAAAAAAATGGATATATATATATATATAAAGAGATACATTGAGAATTCGCATTCTCTATATGATGAAAATATGAATTCTTTCTCGGTTTATTCAACAGAAAACAACTACTTTCCTGGCTATATGCCACGACGAATATTGCATTACATCTATTGAACACACACGATAAGAATTTGAAAACAAAATCTTCTGAAGTGGAGAATTTGCATTCTCCTTCATATAATGGTATGCATATGATAACATTCTGAATATTCAACAGAAAACAACTACTTTCCTGGCTATTTGCCACGTCGAACATAGAATTATATCTGTTGAATATCCAAAAAGAGAGCATGAAAAATCAACATCCTATGAAATTGAAATAATTACATTTTCTCTCAAATCGAATAGAATAATATGATGTATTATGATATGAAAATATAACTTACCAATATGTTCAGTATTGAAATAAAAATTGAAATGTATAGGAGAAGTATACTTGTATGAACTCTGATTTTTCTCAAGTGAGCATATATGATATACATTCAAGTTGAACATTTTCATTTCATTGCATAGAATATTTGAATTATTCATAAAAAGATACCCTAACCTAATTTTTGTGTGTAGTTATTTTCTTCCAAACCTCAGTTTCGAAAGTCGACGCACCCTGTGTACGTATTTTTATGAGCTGTGGGATTCTATTAATAAAATAATTGGTAGGAAATTCTCGTTCAAACGATGGATTTTAAGGATCTATTTTTATTAACTAACAGGGGAAAACATGGAGTCTATACTCTGTTTTCAGCAGTAAGTAGATTTTTTGCTCTGGATATGACGCAACTAACTTTTTTCATAAATAAAAATTGGCACTGAACGGCATATCGCACAGCTGAAGATATACCTCTCTAGAATGTTTCAAATCCAAAAACCTTTACTGCAAATATAAAATCCACT